GCGTGCGCCACCGCGCCCGACCTTTATATATATAACATATATATATATGTAAACTCTTTATGTAGGGAAACAGAGGCACAAAGAGGCAAAGTATGTCTTTCAAGAAAACGTGGCTGATGGCTGCGCTGGGATCCGAAAAAGGCTCCCTAAGGTTGCAGCTTTTGATCTCTGGCTCCCAGGCTGCCTCAGGGAATCCATTCAAATAAACATGCGGGTCAGACAGGTGGTGGTTACGGGAGAGTAACACTACGCAGGCGCGTGGTGGGGTGGGGGTCGGGGGGGGGACAGAGTGGCGCGCAGGCGCAAGAGGCGAGGCGGGGGTGGGGAAGAAGGCCCTGGAACGGGGCGCAGGCGCAGAAGCAGGTGGGCCGTAGCGGAGGGCAGGAAAGGCGCACAGGGGCAGGAAGTGATGGGCAACAAGGCCCTGGAGCGATGCGCTGGCGCAGGCGGTGAAATAAGCGGCGCGCAAGCGCAGGAGGGTGGGTGCAGGGGAGACGCGCAGGCGCAGTAGGAGCGCGAGAGGTGCGCAGGCGCAGTAGGAGCGCGAGAGGCGCGCAGGCGCGGGCCTTCTGGCGGCACTTTGAGAAAAGTTTTGGCGGCGCCCGGGCACTCCTCGTGGTACTCGATGTAGGTGAGCAGGTGGCAACTATCTCTGTAGTTGGAGCCGGGCGCGATGTATTTGGTGTACGGGATGGCCGTGTTCGTGATCAGGTCGTGCACGGCGAGGGGGTGTCTCGTTGCTGTTAGTCCTTAATGAGCCGCAGTCGCGCCTCCCCTTCGCGCTCCGTGGTCCAAGTAGCTCAGCCCGCAGACAGGCGGCTCAGCGGCGGCCGATACCCCCAGGTGGACCCAGAGAGAAGCGGGCAGGTGGAGTGTCAGCGGCAAAACCAGGGAGAGGTGGGGGCACAGGCAGGGGCGTGGCATTGAGAGATGGCAGAACAGGAGGCGTGAGGTATGAAGTGGCTTGCCAAAGGAGAAGGAGATGACCAGCGAGGCACAGAAGGGGATGCGGGGGATGCGGGGAACAGGTGGACAGTCAGACGTACTGACCCAGAGAGAGGAGTTCAGCAGTACGCGCACCAGCAAGCAGACAGGTCTGCTGCAGGCCACTGTCCCTGCCGGGCGCCTTCTTCTCCCCAGTGACCAGACACTTCTGACAACTGCTGACCACCTGCACCCCCTACACCCAGCCGAGCACCCTATGACGGTGCCCTTCATGCCCGCATACCATCAAGGCAACCTCTGAAGGGACAGATCGAACCCTAAAGATCCCAACACTGGCTGAGCTGCCCTCGGCCAGCCCTGAATCGCTAGCTCCCCCACTCTCAAACTGGCTTCTCTGGGAACCCCACTATGCTCACCCAGGAGCCAAGGAGTCCCAACCTCTGGTTTTCTTTTCTAGATGTTGAGTGTCTTTCTGCCATGGACTCTGAACCATGCCCTGGGCCCATATACATAGCAATATGATTCACAATAGCCAGAAGGTGGAAGCAACCCAAGTGTCTACTGATGGATGAGTGGATAGATTTATCCACATATGTATGTGTATACACACACATGTGTACATACCTCATGAAATATTACTCAGCCTGAAAAAAGAAATGCCAATACATGCTAAACATGGATAAGGCCAGGCGTGGTGGCTCACACATGTAATCCCAGCACTTTGAGGGGCTGAGATGGGAGGATCTGTTGAGGCCAGGAGTTCAAGGCCAGCCTGGGCAACATGGGGAGACCTTATCTCTATTTTTAAAAAATAATTATTAAAAACTTGAAAACATTTTTAAAAAGGATGAACTATGAAGACATTATCCTCAGTTAAGTAAGCCAGAAAATGACAAATATTCTTACAATTCCACTTTTAAGGTACTTAAAGTAGTAAAATTCAAGAGACAGAAAGTAGAATGATAGCTTTCAGGGGAAGGAGGAATAGGGAATTGTTTGATAGATGTAAAGTTTCAGTTTGAAAAGATGAAACTTCTAGAGATACATGGTGTTTATGGTTGTACTACATTGTGAATGTGTTTAATGCTACTGAGCTGTGTACTTAAAAAGGGTTAAAGTGACACATTTTATGTTCTGTATATTTTACCACAGTTAAATTTTAAAAGCCTTCCTGACGTTAGTAGATTCTTAGCATTTCTCAAAGAACATTGAGAGAACTTTAAGAGAACAGTGAGACCAAGGTGAGAATCACTGTAGAAAATACCTATATTCCTCTCCTGTATTTGAGCTTCCCCCACTTGACACTATGATCAACCACTTATATTTCCTTGATGACAAATCAATATTGAAAAGGAAGTGAAAAAATACTTGCAAAATGTATGTGCATCTGTGTAAAAAGGTTACACATTTTGAGAACTAGGTTAGCAGTGAGGTGTCTAGATACAATATTAACATAAAAAATCAACAGCATTTCCATATACCAACATTAACCACCTAGAAAACCTAAAAGTGGGGAGATCACATGGACAGTAGAAACAAACTGTAAAATAGAATTATGTTGACCAAAAATTTTACAGTATAGTTACGGATAAAACTATAAAGGTTTGGCTGAATTCAGTGGCTCATACCTGTAACTTCAGTGCTTTGGGAGGCCAAGACAGGAAGATCCCTCGAGCCCAGAAATTTGAAGTTACACTGAACTGGGATCACATCAGTGTACTCCAGCCTGGGTGACAGAGTGAGGCCCTGTATCTATTTTTTAAAAAATCAAAAAGGGGCCAGGCGTGGTGGCCCACACCTGTCATCCCAGCATTTTGAGAGGCTGAGCTGGGTGGGTCACGAGGTCAAGAGATTGAGAGCATCCTGGCTAACATGGTAAAACCCCGTCTCTACAAAAAATACAAAAATTAGCTGGGTGTGATGGCACGCACCTGTAGTCCCGGCTACTCAGGATACTGAGGTAGGAAAATCGCTTGAACCTGGGAGGCGCAGGTCGCACCACTGAACTCCAGATCGAGAGTCCATCTTAAAAACTCAAAAAGGTTTACTAACAGAAACACAAAAATGCAGAAAAAGTGGCATGAGGTATACCTCAGAAAGGTTAGTGTTTACACTGTGAGAGCTGAAACAAGAAGCCAGAGCATTGCCTTGTTCAGCCTCAGCTGGAAAGGTGCAGTGGGCCACTCAAATTTTTCACTCCTCTGTATATGTCCTGGACTGACCTCTAAAGTGCCATAAATATTGATTTGGGGGTTATCAGTAAATTTTAGCGAGGAGCCAGATTTGTAAATATGGAATTGGCAAATAATGAGGACCAACTCTACTAACTTATTAAAAAGTAAAAGCCTGGCTGGGCGCGGTGGCTCACGCCTGTAATCCCAGCACTTTGGGAGGCCGAGGCGGGTGGATCACGAGGTTGAGATCGAGACCATCCTGGTCAACATGGTGAAACCCCGTCTCTACTAAAAATACAGAAAATCAGCGGGCATGGTGGCGCGTGCCTGTAATCCCAGCTACTCAGGAGGCTGAGGCAGGAGAATTGCTTGAACCCAGGAGGCGGAGGTTGTGGTGAGCCGAGATCGCGCCATTGCACTCTAGCCCGGGTAACAAGAGCAAAACTCCATCTCAAAAAAAAAAAAAAAGAAGAAGAAGAAGTAAAAGCCCACCAAATAGTTGAGGAGGGCCATTGATATGGTTTGGATATTTGCCCCTGCCCAAATCTCATGTTGTGTTGTAATCCCCAGTGCTGGACAGGGGCCTGGTGGAGGTGTTGGGGTCATGGCGTGGCTTGGTGCTGTCTCCCTCGTGGCTTGGTGTTTGCTGTCTTCACGATGTTGAGTTCTGGAAAGTTTTGGCCATTTAGGAATGAGTGACACTCTCTGCCTTGCTCTGGCTTTTGCCATGTGATGTGCCTGCTCCCCTTTTGCCTTCCGCAGTGATTGTGAGCTCCTGAGGCTTCACCAGAAGCTGAACAGGACCCAGCACTGTACTTTCTGTAAAGCCTGTAGAACCATGAGCTAATTAAACCTCTTTTCTGTATATATGGTCCCATCTGAGATATTCCTTTATAGCAATGCAAGAATGCCCTAATTCAGCAATCAAATATGACATTAGCCTTATCTGCATTGCATTAATTTTTTTTCGCAAGGAGAATGCCATTTTAAATTTCTTATATTAAGAAAAATGAAGGCCGGGCGCAGTGGCTCACGCCTATAATCCCAGCACTTTGGGAGGCCGAGATGGGTGGATCACAAGGTCAAGAGATTGAGACCATCCTGGTCAACATGGTGAAACCCCGTCTCTACTAAAAATACAAAAATTAGCTGGGCATGGTGGCACACACCTGTAGTCCCAGCTACTCCGGAGGCTGAGGCAGGAGAATTACTTGGACCCAGGAGATGGAGATTGCGGTGAGCCAAGATCGTGCCATTGCACTCCAGCCTGGCTAGCAAGAGCAAAACTCCGTCTCAAAAAAAAAAAGAAAAGAAAAGAAAAATGAAACTCAAAAGGGGCTCTGCCCTGCCTCTGAGTATCTAGAACCTTAAGGAACACTGGGAGTTTTGTTGCTCCGGATATGCTGTTTCCCTCTCCCAGCCTGCCTACTAATATTTCAGGGACATACTGTGAATATGCCATATCAGCTCTGGTCTGCTTATAATGGACTGTTGGATAGGAGAGGAATAAACTCTTATTTAAGGTGTTACTGAATTTTACTGCAACAGCAAAACTCATCCCTAATGATGGAATTAGTCAAGAGTCATACGTTGACTCTTTAGTTAACCAAGACTGACTGTGCTGACGGCAACCATTAGCTCATACTGAGGACTTTCTGGAGTCAGACGCTGCATTCCCTGTACCTCATCTCCATGTCCTTTCATGGCCACCCTCTGAGATGGGGATCTGCTTTTCAGATTTAAAATCTCTGAGCCTCTGACAATGGAAATCACAGCTGCTCAGAATTTGAACCCAGAACTGATTTCAGAGCCCAAGCCTCTCCTCGTCACACTAAACAAAGGACAAAAGTATTTTTGTGTCACACTAAAAATCAAGACATAGGACCCTGAAGTACTTTTTTTAAATCAGAACTTACTGGACAAGTTTCCCAGTTGCTTCCAGGCAGGTGAGTTGATTTTGGGGCCCAGTTCTTAAAATTTGTGAAGGCTTTTTTTTTTCTAATGTCTCATCAAGTCCCCCAAGGAGAAAAAAATCAAATGGGAGCCCGCAGTTCAGATTTTTCTTCTAAAACTGGCAGTTCTTTGTAGACTTCCCAATAGGCTTCCCTGGGATCATGACTTGAAAGTTCATAGAAAGATCAACAATGATGTTATTGCTTTGAAAGGTATGATAGTTTATTCTAGGGAGCACCTCTTCAACAGATGAACAATCAAGAAACTGACCAATAAGGAATGTGGCTTCTTAAATACAGGAGGGAGAGCTTCTATCCAGAGCAGCACTTCACTTATTGCAATGAGGTCTTCCTGCCGAAGGCTGGAAGAGGAGAAACACAAGTTATCACATGGGGATTCTTGTACTATGTGCTCTCAGTCTCCAAGATCCCACAGTTGCCATATGATGAAAATATTCTGGAGTGAATTGATCCATTTATAAATTGGCCCTCACTCAAAATCTCTCCACAATGAACTTTTTAGAGTGGCACTATCTAAAAGAAGTATTACTGGAGCTACCTATACAATTAACAATTTATGGCAGCCACATTTGGAAAAAGGAACTTGGGCAGGCACAGTGGCTCACACCTGCAATCACAGCACTTTGTGAAGCTGAAGCAGGAGGATTGCTTGAGGCCAGGAGTTTGAGACCAACCTGGGCAACACAGAAAGACCTCATTCTACAAAAATATTTAAAACATTAGGTATGAATGTACCACTGCACTCCAGCCTAAGCAACAGAGCAAGACTCTATCTCTAAAAAGTAAATAAAAAATTAAAACTGGTAGAATCACTTTGAATAATATATTTTCTATAACCCAGTAATCCAAAATATCATCTCAACATGTAATCAAGATTTTAAAATACTGATGAGATATTTTATATTCTATTTGTGTGTGTGTGTGTGTGTGTGTGTGTGTGTGTGTAAAAGGGTCTATCTCTCACCCCCACATCAATGTCCAATAGTTTTTCGTTCAACTGTAAAGTGAATGAAATCTTTGGAAATCTTTGCAGAAGACAAGGAATTATGAATGTGGTACATTGAACTGCTGGGCCGACCCACAAGACATCAACAGATGAAGTTGTGGAAGGGTTTAAACCAGTCAACAGTGAACAAAGGACAGTGGAGACAGTGAGTTACAGGCTGAGTTGTATCCCTCCGCATTTCATATGTTGAAGTCCTAACCTTTAGTACCTCTGGATGTAACTTATTTGGAAACTGGATCATTATAGAAGTTAACATGAGGCCATTAGCGTGGGCCCTAATCTTACTAATCTGTCCTCATAAAAAGGGGACATTTGAACACAGAGACACCCAGAGGGAAGATGGTGTGAAGATGCAGAGAGAAGACAGCCATCAGCAAGCCAAGGAGAGGGGTCTGGAATGGATCCTCCCCTCACAGCCCTCAGAAGGAACTAAGCCAGCCAGCCTCTTGATCTCACACTTTTCACCTCCAGATCTGTGAGACAAGAAATTTATGTTCTTTAAACATAAATTTAAACAACATAAAACCACAGCCCTCCAGTCTGTAGTACTTCGTTATGTAGCCCCAGCAAAATAAGACATGGGTTGGTTTGTGGCATTAAAACACTTTGCCCGTGTAAAGGTTACAGGCAGTCTGTAGGACAACTGAAGATGCATTCTGCTTTCTGTCTGCACTGTGCATCTAGCTATATTAAAGAAAACAACAATTCAACAACTATCAGTGATTCGTGGTGTCACGGAGGCTCCCTCTGCACATGTCTTGGGGAAAGGAGAGGAGAAATGGTGGGTAGTGGAAGTTCAAGACTCCATCCCTTATTATCTGTGTAATGGGCCAGCACACCTCATTCCCTAGATTCCTGGCAAGTAGAACTTTTTCCACTAAAGTTTCTGACAAAAGGCCTTCTCCAAATAAGACCCAATGAGACATTTGTGATTTACTGCCTCCTCCTTTCTAGAAAAGTCAGGAAGCACAGCTGACAACATTTGTGGCCAATTGAAGGAGTTTACATACCCTACCATGACCCTGGTGGAGTAGAGAGACAGTATGAGTTGAAGCTTGCTACTCAGAACCCACTGCAACTCGTGTGTGTGTGTTTTGAAGCCTGCTACTCAGAACCCACAGCAGCTGTGCACGTGTGTGTGTGTGTGTATGTTGTGTGTGTCTTTTGCAATTCCAATCACAGATCTGCCCTCTCTTGGACTCAGAGGGCTCAGAGGAGCCCTCTCTTGGGGTCTGAATGCACCGCCCAGCAAAGCTAAATGCATTGCCCAGCAAAGCCAAGCAACTGAATCTCACCATCAGGACAGCCAAGATCAGCTCCATCAAAGCAGTCAGTGGTACATTTGATCAATTTGTTTTTTGTATTTCTGGGCTATAAAATGTCTCTTAAGTTTCATTGTTGGACCTATTGAGAAAGGAGAAATCAATGGAGTTGTGGAAATAAAAGAAAATTCCACATACCCATGCATGACCAGGCAACAGAGTCCCATGCTTGGGGCTAGGCTGGGTGGCTGGCTGTGCCATTGACTTTCAGGGTGTGTCACTTTTGCTGTCTGTATGGGGATAATAAAACTTTCATGTCGTCCTTCAGCTGTAGCGAGGATTCTGTGAGCTGGAAGGTGGAGCACACGCTGCACTCTGTGCCTGATGAGGACTGTGCACAATGGAGGAGGGATATCGTCATCTCAAACCATGCCCCTATCCCCATTTTACAGGTGAGGAAACGGGATTAGAGAGGACCAGTTCCTATGAGGTCAGCCAACAAGTGCATGGCAGAATCAAGACTCAAACCGGGAGTTGTCTGCTCCCATAGCCCAGGACATTCATTGAAAGCCTCTGAATCACCAGGGGCTCTGGGTGTCTCGAGCAACCCCGCAAGGACTGGGTTTTTCAACTGATAGATGAAAAGACCACCAGCCTGGACAACATGGCAAAGCATCTCTACAAAACAAAAAGAAAAAATTAGCCATGCATGGTGGCGCGCACTTGTCCCAGTCACTCAGGAGGCTGAAGTGGGAGGATCACTTGATCCTGGGAGTTCAAGGCTACAGCAGCAAGCCGTGATCCTGACGTCATACTCCAACCTGGGTGGCAGCAAGACCCTGTCTCAAAACAAACAACAACAAAACACACAAGACTCAGTGGGACAAATCCCTTCCCTGTGTAGACGGGACAGGATTTGAACCCACGTTGTTCAATGCCACATGCTTAGTGTGACTCTTCCATCCATACCATCAAATTATAGCCGAGCAGTGATAGAATTCGGTATCCCCATTCTGGAGTGAGCCCTACCCTCATGGCGGAAGAGAGGCAAAAATACAATTCATACAGAGAATAATGTCATGTTCTGATGCTTTATGGAGGCAAGAAGACAGGGTGGCATAATGGGGGTGATGGCAAGCTACAGGGTGAATTATTAAGGACAATGGCAAGCCACTTTAGCCACCATAGTCAGGGAAGGCAGAAACCATGCCTATAAACTTTATTAAATTAATCAGAGAAGAAGGGAGGGGGAGAAACTAAAGTCAGCCACACTTACAGCACACTCAGCATTCATCATTAGCTCAGTTTGCTCTCTGATCCCTTCCTCATAGCTAGCTGTTTGCCTGTTGCTCCGGAATCACAAAAAACCCAGTTGTAAGATACAGTTCCCCTTAACTGCTCTACAGATAACGTTTTAAGCATTGTAAAAAATTAAGTTTTCCTTTTTTTTTTTAATCTGCCTTGGAAAATTTTTCTTATTTAACCATTGTGAAAGGATATCCTTGAGATATCCTTTCAAGTCCTGCATACCAGCAAAACTACTGATGCCCACTGATCTGAAGGAGCCCCCAGGAGCTGACTCACCCAAGACTGTAGCTTCCACATCCTGATTATTTCATCCCTCTTACCCCAACCAGTCCATGACTCTAATTTTCCAGCCTTTCACCCCCAAAGATCCCCTTAAAACCCCAGCCCAGAATTCCTCAAAGATTTGAGGGTTCCTTCCATCTTGGTTGGCTTCCCTGCAAGGGAATTTAATTTCTTTTTTTTGTTTGTTTGCTTTTTGATTTTGTAGGTTTGTTTTTTTATTTTTGAGACAGGGCTCACTCCATTTCCCAGGTTGGAGTGCAGTGGCATGATGATGGCTCACTGCAGCCTTGACTTCCCCCAGCTCAACCAATCCTCCTACCTTAGTCTCCCGAGAAGCTGGGCATGTGCCACCATATACTCAGGTAATTTTTGTTTTTTTGTTTTTTTGTTTTTTTTTTTTTTTTTGAGATGGAATTTCGCTCTTGTTACCCAGGCTGGAGTGCAATGGCGTGATCTCGGCTCACCGCAGTCTCCACCTCCTGGGTTCAGGCAATTCTCCCACCTCAGCCTCCTGAGTAGCTGGGATTACAGGCATGCACCACCATGCCCAGCTAATTTTTTGTATTTTTAGTAGAGACGGGGTTTCACCATGTTGACCAGGATGGTCTCGATCTCTTGACCTAGTGATCCACCCTCCTCGGCCTCCCAAAGTGCTGGGATTACAGGCTTGAGCCACTGCACCCGGCCAATTTTTGTATTTTTCGTAGAGATGGAATTTCACCATGTTGCCCAGGTTGGTCTTAAACTCCTGGGCTCAATCAGTCTGCCCACCTCAGCCTCCCAAAAGTGTTGGGATTACAGGCATGAGACACTGTGCCTGGCCATAATTAAGACACTGCCTGTCTTTGCTGCAACCCCTGCTGTCTCCGTATATTGGTATATTACTGTGCAGTGGGCATACAGACCTAGTGGTCCTGTACAAAGCTGCTCTGAGGAGGAAGAGGCCTGTAGGGTGAGACCTGGACAATGAGAAGGAGCCATTCATGCAAGGAATTGAGGGGGAAGGGCACTCCCAGGAAGGCAGACTGGCAGATACACAGGCCCTATAGTTGGACAAAGCCCAGAGATGCAGGAACATCATGAAAGCCCATGGATTTGGAGCAGAGTTAATGAAAAGTCAGAAAGAGAGAGATTGTATAGCTCTATAGTAAGGAGTTTGGATTTTATTTCCAGGACGGGGAGCTGGGGACCAGTTAGCTAGAGGTAGCAGCATCCCTCTCCTGGTTCCTGGCTGATCTCATAGACCCTCTGACCTTCAGGAAAGGACTTACCTCTTCAGAGCCCACACAGTCCCAAGTGCTAACAAGGGACTAGCCTCAAAATGTCATGGCCACTCACCTAGCTCTCCACCATAGATGGAAAAGTCCTTCTCCAAGATGACCCACTTTTGAATCTTCTGTGCGTTGCTCGTGGCTTCCTGGTTCACATCATTGATGCCTTCCTGAATGGCCTTGTAGACCAGGACGTCTTTCTGCTTCACAATCTCAGTCACGGTAGATGCCCAGCTACCCAGACCCCGACAGAAGTTGATGGCCTCCGAGGTCAGCTTGTCCAGAGGTTCTCCGCTCATCTGATTGATCTCACACTGCCCCAGGACACCCCTGTCACCACACACTCTCCTTGGCCACCACCCCTCCCCAGGCCCAAAGACCAAGAAGTGGGTCTTGAACCCACAGGTGTACCCTCCTGACCTTGGGGTGGGGCCAGGGAGTGCAAGGCCAGCAGAGACCCCCCCAGTGACAGCAAACCCATGTTACCTTCAGCGTCAGCAAAATGCTCAGAAACTTCATTTTATCTCCTACTAACATGGCGTTACTGACGATGGGGATCTTCTTCTTAACCAAGGTCTCAATGGGAATGGGGGGCACATTTTCACCACCGGCAGTGATAAGGATTTCTGGAACAGAGCTTGGCTTGGTACGTGTCCCGCCATGACAGGGGACACCCCCCCACCCCTTGGAAATCAGAAGGGCAGTTGCTGGCATGGCCAGCACTCAGAAAGCCCCAGAAGCACAGGAGGACCTGGCCCTCTTCCCCCACTGACTTTTAATTCCCATCAAGTGTCTAAGTTGTGTCTTCCTCTTGGACAGCATCTTAATAATTAATTGACTGTTTCCTATGTCCTGGTCCACCATGCCCTGGTTTTAGGTTCTTCTGTATGTCCTCCTTGAAAGATAGTGAAGCCTTTTTGGCCACACCTGGTCCGTCTGTCTCTTGCTTCTTAATCACTTAGTAACCCCAACAGAATGTAATGTAATTCCGGTCTTACCCCCAGGGACATGTGTAGCAGCCCTAATTTTGGCAAACTCTGAAAGAATCTTTCTCAGTCTCTGAAATTCTTCAACAGTGCCTTTTCCTGCCCCAGACCCACTGGTCACTTGTTCTCTCATCCTGAGATGCTTCCCTAAACTCACTCCCCCTTGTCCTGAAGGAACACACACAGTCACCTTCACTGTGGTCATCAGTAGCAGTAGTAATAATCAATATGACCAGGAAATGGATATCAGTGGTGTGACTCCTCCTTGGGGTAAGAGTACTCTGAATGGGAACTACTCTTCACGTTTTAATGTATGCGATTTGGGTGGGTTGAACTGCAGGGGTGAGCATGTGACCAGCTCTGACCAATCAGTATATTTCACCCCCAACAGTGATTCATTATGAGAGAGATCTTGGCCCAAGGATCCAATGAGAGGACTTGTTTGCTGAAAACATTGAGAATAATACACTCTAGTCCCTTGTGGTGATAGAGGTGAGCCTAGACTGTTGGTAGCTTTCTTGCTATCAGATGGCAAAGTTTCTTTAAGAATAGCAGCAGCTGGGCACCGTGGCTCAGCATCATCTGAGGTCAGGAGTTTGAGACCAGCCTGGTCAATATGGCAAAACCTGTCTCTACTAAATATACAAAAATTAGTCAGGTGTGGTGGTACGTGCCTGTAATCCCTGCTACTCAGGAGGCTGAGGCAGCAGAATCACTTGAACCTGGAAGGTGGAAGTTGCAGTGAGCTCAGATCATGCCACTGCACTCCATGCTGGGCAACAAGAGTGAAACTCCATCTCAAAACAAAAACAAAACAGACGTCCAGGCGCAGTGGCTGACACCTGTAATCCCACCACTTTGGGAGGCCGAGGCAGGCAGATCACCTGAGGTCAGGAGTTCGAGACCAGCCTGACCGACATGGAGAAACCCTGTCTCCACTAAAAATACAAAATTAGCCAGGCAGGGTGACGCATGCCTGTAATCCCAGTTACTCAGAAGGCTGAGACAGGAGACTCCCTTGAACCCAGGAGGCAGAGGTTGCGGTGAGCTGAGATCGTGCCGTTGCACTCCTGCCTGGATAATAAGAGTGAGACTCCTGTCTCAAAAAAAGAAAAAAAAAGCACCAGCGGCCAGGCACAGCAGCTGATATCTGTAATCCCACCACTTTGGAAGCCCAAGGTGGGCAGATCACTTGAGTCCACAAATACAAGACCAGCCTGGGCAATATGGTAAAACTGGGTCTCTGCAAAAAATTAGCCGGGTGTTGTGGCATATGCCTGTAGTCCTACTTAGTCAGGAGGCTGAGGTGGGAGAATCACCTAAGCCTGGGAAGTCAAGGGCACAGTGAGTCATAATTGCACCACTGCCTTCCAGCCTGGACAACAGAGTGAGACCGTCTCAAAATAGTACCAGCACAGAGGAAAACTCAAGAAATGAATTTTAAAATTTCTTATGACCTCATTTTAGCACCCAGATTCAGCCAGCTGATTTTTTGGCCAGCTGACCTTTTCAGTTGTGTTGAGTCAACAGTTTTGCCGTTTTTTTCTCCTCAAACCTGTTTAAACCCATGTTAAGTGGGTTTTAATAAAAACGAGGCTGGGTGCGGTGGCTCAAGCCTGTAATCCCAGCACTTTGGGAGGCCGAGGCGGGTGGATCACGAGGTCAACAGATCGAGACCATCCTGGTCAACATGGTGAAACCCTGTCTCTACTAAAAATACAAAAAATTAGCTGGGCATGGTGGCACATGCCTGTAATCTCAGCTACTCAGGAGGCTGAGGCAGGAGAATTGCCTGAACCCAGGAGGCGGAGGTTGCGGTGAGCCGAGATTGTGCCATTGCACTCCAGCCTGGGTAACGAGTGAAACTCCATCTCAAAAAATAAAAATTAAAAAAAATTAAAAAATTAAAATAAAAACGTACTAAGTGTTCTCCATCAGGTTTTGGCAAACTGTGGCCCATAGTGGCCAAATCCAGGCCACTATCCAATTTTGTATGACCAAAAGCTAAAAATGAGTTTTACATTTTTTAAGTTGCTGGAAGTCAAAAGAAGAATATTTTTGACATATAAAAATTATGATACTCATATTGGCAGCTGGCCACACCCATTTGTTATGTGTTGTCAACAGCTGTTTTTGTGCTACAAATCAGAGTTGCGAAGCTGCAACAGAGACGCAAGTTTTGTGAACCCAAAAACATTTACTACAGGGCCCTCTTCAGGAGAAGTTGGCTTATCCTTCTTCTATACTTTCTTTAATCCTTACAGCTCTGTAGATTATTATCCTCTGAAATTGCAGAAGAAAATGGTACCTTTTTATTCAAGCCCATTTGAGCCAACTTGGAATGAGTTTGAGTAAAAAGGAGTTAAACTATTGGCTCAATATAACTAAAAAGTTCACAAGAGTGTGGCTGGATCCAGGTGCCAAAATGTCACCGGGAATTTCTTTATCCTTCTGTTACCGAGTTTCCCTCTGGGTTGGTGCTATTCTAAAAGGGGCTTCAGGAGATTCCAGGGCTTGTCTTTTGCAGGTCCGTCCTCCCGAGGGTGGACCATGGGATGCCAGGTGACCAAGAAGTAACCATTTGCTGGACAGGAGAAAGAGCTGAGTTGTACAGACTGAGGTGTTTTCCGCGCAGCTCCTCTGGGAACGTGAGGAACTGGGGTGGCCTTTTTGTTGGTACCCTGGGCCTTTAAATGTTCAGGGTGGGCCTGCTTGCAGGAGATCCCCAAAGAGCTCAGCCCCTGGTACCTTTGATGCGGCCAGTGACATAGAGGAAACCCAGACTGTCCAGCTGGCCCAGATCCCCAGAGTGTAGCCAGCCTTCCTCATCAATGGCCTTTGTAGTTTCAGCCTCACTTTCCAGGTAGCCCATGAAGATGTGCCTGCCCCAGAGGCAGATCTCCCCAGTGCCATGCTTGCTCTGCTGGACCAGCATGTTCTTACACCCAGTCAAGATCTTGCCACAGCTGAGGGGACAGAAGCAGAGAAACTGAGGCTCATAGAGACAAGTCAGCCACCCAGCTCGGCCTGGGTCTGCAGCCTAGACTCCTAACACTGTGGTCAGCTAGAGCAGGCTGGATATGCGCCCCAGTGCACAGGAGGAGGTGTTTGCTGCATTGTTAAATCCAGTGTGTCAGATTCCCAAAGGCTTTGTGAACTGGGAAACCCAGCAGTGGCTGAGTGTGGTGGCTCACGCCTGTAATCCTTACACTTTGGAAAGCTGAGTCAGGAGTATTGCTTGAGCCCAGGAGTTCAAGACCAACCTGGGCAACATATGGAAACCCCATCTCTCTACAAAAATAATAAAAAATAAAAGTTGGGCATGGTGGTACATATCTGTGGTCCCAGCTACTTGAGAGGCTGAGGTGGGAGAATCGCCTGAGCCCAGGTCAACGCTGCAGTGAGTAGTGATCACGCCACTGTGCTCCAGCCTCGGTGACAGAGTGAGACCCTGACTCAAACAACAAACAGCAAAAACAAACATGAAAGAAAGAAAAAGAAAATCCAGAAGCATCCTAGGCTGTTTTTGTTCTCTCTTTGTTTTTTTTGTCTCCACATATACCGGCAAAGAAAAAAGTGCTTTTGGCTTAAGGATAGGAACAAAAACCCCTCATCGTTAAGAAAACAGGCAGACCTCTCTGCAGTGATTAGGACAGCTAATTTTAAGAACAACAACCACTTAGAATCTCTTTACAGGTAAAAGTTACTTTCATAAAACAGTAGCACTGTTTGAAATCTGGGTTCTTCTAATTTTTTTAACTAGAGATAGCATTGTCCAGGGCAGTTCTAGGATGTAGGAAAGAGTATTTTCTCCTTGTGTTGCTGAGATCTCTTTGATCGAGTTAGAAGGGCCAGTGGACCCAGGTTTAACTGTAGGAATTCTCCCGGTGAGCAAATGGTAATAATGATAATGGACACAGGCCTGAGAAATCAAAAGCTGCCTTATGATTTTCCCACTGAAGGCTTTCTAGGTATGTGGAAAAATCCAGAAGCCATAAAAGAAAAGATTGATAAGTTCAACCATCTAAATTTGTGACCACAAATTTCTGCACAGTAAAAAAAAATCTTGGCCGGGCACGGTGGCTCACGCCTATAATCCCAGCACTTTGGGAGGCTGAGGCGGGTGGATCACGAGGTCAAGAGATCAAGACCATCCTGCTCAACAAGGTGAAACCCCATCTCTACTAAAAATAAAAAAATTAGCTGGGCATGGTGGCACGCGCCTGTAGTCCCAGCTACTCGGGAGGCTGAGGCAGGAGAATTGCTTGAACCCAGAAGGTGGAGGTTGCAGTGAGCCGAGATCATGCCATTGCACTCCAGTCTGGGTAGCAAGAGCGAAGCTCCGTCTCAAAAAAAAAAAAAAAAAAATCTTAATTAAAATTAAAATACCAATGACAAGCCAGGGGATAAAAAAGACAAAGGGCTGATTTTCTTAATATGTAAAGAGTGCCAACAAACCAATAATAAAGGGACCAATAATCTAATTTTAAAAACAGGCAGATAATATGGCAAGTACATAGGAAAGGAAGTACAAATGACTTTTAGTATATGAAAAGGCTGGGCATGGTGTTTCATGCCTGTAATTCAGCACTTTGGGAGGCTGAGGATTGCTTGAGTCCAGGAGTTCGAGGCCAGTCTAGGCAACATAGCAAGACCCCATCTCTACCAAAAAAAAAAAAAAATTTAACTGCTGAGCATAGAGGCTCATACATATAGTCCCAGCTAGTTGGGAAGCTGAGGCAGGAGGCATGCTTGAGTCCAGGAGTTCAAGGTTACAGTGAACTATGTACCATTACATTCCAGCCTGGAACAAAGTGAGACCCTATCCCTAAAAATACTTCGTAATTAAATTTTTAACAATAAATAAACACATATATGAAAAGATTTTTTTCAAAGCTCACCTGTGCTAAAAAAGAGGGAGTCAGGGAGAAACACAACCAGAAGATTCTATAACAGCTATGATGGGAATTTGAACCTGCATTTGGTATTCTTAAAGTTTTCTTATCAGTGGGTCCAACCTTGCAGCCTAGGGCGAGCTGAGCTTGGGAGAAAGCCAGGAATGGCCCCTGGAGGTGTTTTGAAATGGAGGATCATAGGAATGAAAGGTGCTGAGGTCACAGGCAGTGAACTTGGAGGCAGAACTCACAAGTGACAAACAGGGAGACCATGGAATGTTCAGAGAGCCATCTCCCTTGTCTGTGGCTCTTTGATCATCTAGGGCTTCCCTGCACAGTTAGGACTTGGAGGCTGGAGAACAGGAGCATTCTGGAGACACCATGTCAGGATTCCTCTTAACCCAGAGGCCCACCTATCCACCCACCTTCCCCCTCTTGACCCCATGTCTGCACGGGAGGCTGATACCTTAGAAGCCTGTAGTTATTCTGGTTGGATATTGTGTGGGGTCCTGAGCTCTCAGTCAACCCATACAACTCGCCTATAGGTAGGTCCAAGCTCAGAAAGAACTCGGCAGTCTCTTGGTTGAGGGGTGCAGCCCCGCTGATAAAAGAGTGACAGTGATCCAAGCCAAGGGACATCTTGACTTTGCTGAACACGAGAGTCTTAGCCATGCGGTAGCTCATGTGAGTATTATATTTCCTGTGAATAAGAATGCATCAGGTGGAAAGGGGGCTGATGGGACCCACTGGAGAAGGCTGAGCCTCCTCCTTCACCAACTACCCTCCTAGCCCTCTGGATGCTATACCTACCCCAACATCTTTTTTGAGTTGATCTTGAAGCCAATGTTTCTTGCCCACACAAATACCTTCTTCCTCAAGCCTGTGAACTTGGCACTATTTTCCTTCACTTCCACGTGCATCTTCTCCCAAATTCGGGGCACTCCCAAGAAGACAGTAGGCTTTACCTCCTTTAGAGTATTTATCAAGGTGCCCTGTATGGAACAAAGCTAGGTTAGCCACAGCAGTGCCTTCTGTGCATCAGGGAGGTCCATCTCTCCTTATCGACCCAGCTCTGTCCAAGAGAACATTGCTTCACTGATCAGATCAGGCAGGGCTCCCAACCCAAAGGAGACAACCCATTGGCTGGGTTGGCCAATCAGATTTTTGCACCCTCTCTAGGGATTTGATGAGGAACATAAAACCTGGTAAGATATTTTTGGAAGGTAACATGTCAGTCCTATTTTTTTTTTTTTTTTTTTTTTTTTTTTTTGAGACGGAGTTTTACTTTTGTTACCCAGGCTGGAGTGCAACGGCCCGATCCCGGCTCACCGCAACCTCCGCCTCCTGGTTTCAGGCAATTCTCCTGCCTCAGCCTCCTGAGTAGCTGGGATTACAGGCATGGGCCACCATGCCGAGCTAATTGTTTGAATTTTTAGTAGAGACGGGGTTTCACCATGTTGACCAGGATGGTCTCGATCTCCTGACCTCGTGATCCACCCGCCTCAGCCTTCCAAAGTGCTGGGATTACAGGCGTCAGCCACCGCGCCGGGCCCAACAGTCCTATTAACATTTTAAATGTAACCTGTCAACTTCACTTATATGGGTGAAGTAAATCAGCTGAAGGAAAGACTCAGGCACACAAACACATTCAAGATATTTGCAGCACTGTTTTGTAACAGAATGGAAACACCTTACAGCTTCAATGACAAGGGGTTGGCTAAAGAAACTGGTCCAAGCATGCAGTGGACTATTATACAACTGTTAAAAAGATGCAAGATTCTCCCCTAAAGTGACCTGTAGGTTCAAAGCAATCCCTATGAAAATCTAGGCAGTTTTTAAAAAAAATACAAATTGACAAGCCATTTTTAAAATTTATATAGAAATGCGAGGACCTAGAATAGCCAAAGCAATTTTGGAAAAGAAAGACAAGATGGGAGGACTTACTACCTGATTTTAAACCATCCTGGTTTACCCAGAACTGCAGGAGTATCTGAAATGTGAAACTCTCTGTTTTGGAACTGGGACAGTCCCGTGCAAACCAGGAAAACTTAGTCATCCTGCTATAAAGCTAGTGCGATCAAGTCAATATGGCTTTGGTGTAAAGACAGATATGCGGATCAGTGGAACAAAATAGAAAATCCAGAAACGAAACCTTACATTTATCATCAATTGATTTGCAACAAAATGCCAAGGCAATTTAGTGGAGGTTGGGCAGGGAGGGGGGACTATTGAAATGCAAGACGAAACAAAACAAACAAAAAACACCTCCACAAAACTTGGGCTTAGAGCCTTATTTCTCACCAAACACGAAAATCGCCTGAAAATGCATTCTAGCCCTAAATATAAGAGATCAAACTAAAAGCCTGCTGGAGGAAAACATAGACGGAAATCTCTGTGACTTTAGGTTAGGCAAAGATTCCCTAGATATGATACTCAAAGCATAAAAGAACAAATCAGATTTCATCAAAATTAAACACTTTTTCCTCTTCAAAAGATTATTGAGAAAACAACAAGCCATAGAACTGGGAGAAAGTATTAGCAAACCACAAATTTGGTAAAGGATTTGTAACCAGACTGTATAAAGAACCCTAAACACTCCACAATAAGATTAGATATGCAACTAAAATTTTTTTTTCATTTTTAATTTTCTTTCCCTTCTTTCCTTCCTTTCTTCCTCCCTCCCCCTTTCTCTCTTTCTTTCTTTCTGATAGAGCCTCCCTCTGTTGCCCAGGCTGGAGTCCAGCGGCACCATCTCGGCTCACTGCAGCCTCAACGTCCCAGATTCAAGCTGTTCTCCTGCCTCAGCCTCCTGAGTAGCTGGCACGCCACCATGCCCAGCTAATTGTTGTAGTTTTTTTTTTTTTTTTTTTTTTTAGTAGAGATGGAGTTTCACCATGTTGTTCAGGCTGGTCTTGAACTCTTAACCTTAAGTGATGTGCTGGCTTGCCCTCCCAAAGTGCTGGGATTACAGGTGTGAGCCACGGCACCCAGCTTTTACTTTTCTTTTTACTAGTGATGCTCGCACAGAAAGAGCAACCACATTTTTAAATGGCTGAACTATTTGAACGGATTTATTTTTCCAAAGAAGATATGCAAATGGTCAATAAACACATGAAGAGATGCTCACTATCATTAATCATCAAGGAAATGCAAATTCGAGTGGCAAGAAGAATAACAAAACAGAAAATAATATGTTAGTGAAGATGTGGAGAAACTAACCTTCACACGTTTCTGGTGGAAATGCAAAATGGTGCACTTACTTTGGAAAACAGTCTGGAAATTTCTGAAAATATTAAGATACTTGTCACTAGACAATTTGTAAACATTTTGACTACATTAGGAGTTGGTAAGGATGTGGGAAAATGGAAGCTTCTCAGGTCTTGTAGGTAAATGTGTATGTGTTATGTGTTCAGCCAAGAAAGGAAGTATTTATTGATTACCTAACACATCTCAGGCACTGAGCATGGGGCATAAGAGAGGAACTGAAAGGCGCCAAGGAAATATTTAGCAGAGAGCTAAGTGACAAAGAAGAGTCAGCCCTGAAAAGAACAGGAGAAAGAACCTTCTAGGAGGAAACAAAGGCCCTAAGATTTAGCCTGCTTGATGGAGCGTGTGGGAGGCAAAATAATGGCCCCTAAGGATGCCCACGTTCTAACCCCTGGAACCTGTGAATATATCTTTCATGGCAAACAGGACTTTATAGATGGGATTAACTTAAGAATCTTGAGAAGGTAGATCATCCCGGATGATCTGGGTGGCCCACTGTCTTCACAGCGTCCTTATAAGAGGGAGGCAGGAGGGTCAGAGTCAGAGAGAGGTGGGAAGAGGCTGCCCTGCTGGCTGTGAAGATGGAGGAAGGGGCCGTGAGATGAGGAACATAGGTGGCCTCCAGAAGATGGAAAAGGCAAAAGGAAATAGATTCTCCTCAAGAGCTCTAGAAGGAATGCAGCCGTGATGACGTCTTGATTTTAGTCCGGTGAGACCCATTTGCAGACCTGTGACCGCCAGAACTGCAAGATAATAAGTGGGCCAGGCATGCTCATTCCTATCTGTAATCCCAGCACTTTGGGAGGCTGAGGCAGGTGGATCACTTGAGGTCAGGAGTTTGAGACCAGCCTTGTCAGCATGGTGAAATCTCATCTCTACTAAAAATACAAAAATTAGCTGCGCATGGTGGCGCACACCTGTAATCCCAGCTTGGGAGGCTGAGGCGCAAGAATCATTAGAACCCAGGAGGTGGCGGAGGTTGCAGTGAGCTGAGATCATGCCACTGCACTCCTGCCTGGGCGACAGAATGAGGCTCTATCTCTAAATAACTAAATATTTTAAGTCACTAAGTTTGTATTCATTTGTTGTAGCATTAGTAGGAAACTAATTCAGAGAATGTAGCTTGGAAGAAATGTCAGGGTTCTTTCCTGGCTCTGTTAAGTTTGCAAAGTCCAGACGTGTTGGAAATCACTGTTAAACAAATTAGTCAGGCCTGGTGGTACATGCCTGTAGTCCTGGCTACAGGAGAGACTGAGGTGGGAGGAACCCTTGAGCCCTGGAATTTAAGGCTGCAGTAAGCTATGATCATGCCACCGCATTCCAGGCTGAGTGACATAGCAAGACCTTGTCTCTAAAAACGACAACAACAACAAAAACAAAAAACTATTTTAAAGAGCAAATCAATGTGTTCTCTCACATAACTGCTTTGAAAAACATACCAATGAATGATATCCAGCTAACTCAAGGAATAATCCAAAAAAAGAAGGCAAAAACCCCAGAAAACAGGGGCTCCAACCCAGGAGTGGAGAGAAGGGGTATCCCTCTATGGCAGCTTGTAGAAGATGCTGTTGATGTCCTATCCAGAGCTCTAATGGCCCACAGTTCCTTATTTTCCAGAAAACTGCCCTTACTTAGAAATAACTGGAAAGTTGTACTCCCCACCCTCGTTGGGTGCCTGAGCCCACAGCCAATGACTGAGTTGGAGTTACAAAAGCACAGCCTCCTTGCCTCAAAGTGCAACAACTCTGTGGTGTCATTCATGCCTCAGAGCTTCCTGTGGATCAGTCTGAGGTTACAGTCCAGCTGAATATGCGTCCTTTCTTGTTTTTCCCCCACCCTACCCTCTGCTCTCTTCCGTTTGGTTATCAATGAGAGCTCCCCATTGATAAATCACAAAGATCTCCAACTCAGATTTTGCTTCTAGGGGACCCAACCTAAGATAGTCTAAAACAACAGTCCAGCTAAGAGCAGAAGGATGGAGGAAAAAAATAATGCAATGAAGCAGGGCATAGTAGCTCATGCCTGTAATACCAGCACTTTGAGAGGCCAAGGCTCACCTGAGGTCAGGAGTTCAAGACCAGCCTAGCCAAAATGGCAAAACTCTCTCTGCTTAAAAATACAAAAATTAGCAGGTGTGGTGGCACAGGCCTGCAGTCCCAGCTACTTGGGAGACTGAGGCATCAGAACTACTTGAAACCAGGGGGCAGAGGTTGTAGTGAGCTGAGATTGCACCATCGCACTCTAGCCTGGGAAGCAGAGCAAGACTCCGTCTTAAAAAACTGCAGTGAATATTTGAACATGTGGAGAATATTGATGAGCATGTGACAGATCAGATGGAGCAACTGGACATGAATGCAAAAACTTCACCAAATTGGAAAATAAAGGCGACTATTAATTCTGGGAAAAGCAAAAAGTTGTACTAAACAGGAAATGTAATCATATAGTAAACTACTTGGCTCAGCTAACTAAGAATAATTTATATTGAGAGAATGGGGAAGGAGAAATGAGGAGACAGAAGAGGAAGGGAGCTAAGTCCTCACCACAATAGAAAAGCAGTAGATAAAATCTAAAGGCTACAGTCAAATATATGCATAATCCCAGCCAGTAAGTAGAAAAAAATAAAGACCACAAACAGCATTGTATCAATTCAGATCAGACTTTGCTGCCAAAAACTCCTGTTTTTTTTTTTTTTTGAGACGGAGTTTTGCTCTTGTTACCCAGGCTGGAGTACAATAGCGCGATCTCGGCTCACCGCAGCCTCCACCTCCTGGGTTCAGGCAATTCTCCTGTCTCAGCCTCCTGAGTAGCTGGGATTACAGGCATGCGCCACCACGCCCAGCTAGTTTTTTGTATTTTTAGTAGAGATGGGGTTTCACCATGTTGACCAGGATGGTCTCGATCTCTTGACCTCGTGATCCACCCGCCTCGGCCTCCCAAAGTGCTGGGATTACAGGCTTGAGCCACCGCGCCCGGCCAAAACTCCTGGTTTTTTGAGCTTTTTAGATTTGAGAATAATACTGACTTACAAAACACACACGCACGCACAAGTACATCTTTGTCTTGGGTTGATCAGTGTTCAATCCACATAACCATACATGGATGCCTTGAGTTTGATAAAGATAAAAACTAAGAGAATGTAGCCAGCTGGTTTAAAAAAAAATGCTTTTCTTTTTTATTTGGTCAGATTTTTTTTTTTAAGAAAAATTTACTATTATTATTATTATTGTTTTTGTAGAGAGGAAGTTTCGCTATGTTGCTCAAGCTGGTCTCAACTCCTGGGCTCAAGCAATCTGCATGCCTTGGCCTCCCAAATTGCTGGGATTACAGGCATGAGCCACTGTGCCTGGTCTTGTTTTTAATGATTCTAAATAGAGCATTAAGATGAGGACAGAGGAAAAAAGCATTAGACCTGGAGCTTCATCCAAATAATCTTCCAATGATTAACAACCATCTGCTCACTGGCGGCCCCAGGTCCTTACTCAATCTTACCCTGAGAGCATCTGGTTGAGCAAAGTATGTGAGTGCTCCGATCTTTATGGGTATCCAGATGTCCATCATCTGTGCTGCAATGTGGCTGAGTGGGAGGTAACTGACCACCATCTCATGCTTTTCTGTCAGTTTCAAGTCCTTTGCCACTGCTCCTGCTGTCCACGTGATCTGTAACATAAGGAATAATCCAGGGTGCCTCACCCTCACAGAAGGGCCATTTCATTTTTAAATTTTTTATTTATTTAATTTTCAGACAGGGTCTCACTCTTGTTACCCAGACTGGAGTGCAGTGGTGTGATCACAGCTCACTGCAGCCTCAAACTCCTGGGTTTAGGAGATCCTCCCATCTTAGCCTCCTGAGTAGCTGGGACTACAGGCACACACCACCACACCCAGTTAATTTTTTTAAACTATTTTGTAGAGAGGGGGGTCTCACTATATTTTCCAGCGTGGCCTCAAAAGTGCTAGGATTATAGGTCTGAGGGACCATGCCTAGCCTGGAGGCCCATTTTAAATGTATTTAGCTAAATAAATAAATTTAATAAACACTTATAAAGCACCTACTATGAGCCAGACACTGTTTTCGTACTTTACTTTTCGTACTTTCCTACTTTAGTACGTTTTCGTACTAAGTCATTTAATCATCATAACACTATAATTCTTCCTGTTTTACAGATGTGAAAACAGAAACACAACATTCCTGCTGGCTCAGAACAAGGAGCTAGTGCCTCCCCTGTCCCTACCCCTGAGACCTCCGTGCACCCCATCGTGATCTCTTTCCACTGCCTCCATCAGGGTATGCATGCCTACCTGGTACCAGCCTACCTGCTGGCTCTGACTTTTAAGTGCCATCTACTGGACTGCAGCCTGCATGGCACCACCAAACAAAACTTGCTACTGGAAGGGTTTATTGACAGTGCATGAGGTAAGCCTCCTGAGACCTCAGCACCCTCAGTCCTGCAGGAGACAGTGTTGGGTCTTGTGTCTAATACATCTTTACAACAAGCAGCATCCGAGAAAGCCACTGCATAGAAGCTATCCACAACCATGGAACCCATACAGACCTTTGGCCCCCAAAAGCACTCAGAAGCAAGGCCATACAATCACACACAACATACACCACAGCCATACCCTCAAGGGAAAATAGAATTAAAAAATACAAAAGTCTCATCCAAACAATAGAAAATCCAAAAATAAGAAATGACTGCTCCCCGGATAAGAAGGAATCAGAGCAAGAATTCTGGCAGTAAAAAAACCCAGAGTGTTTGAACACCTACAAAGAATCTCACCAGTTCTCTAGCAATGGGTCTTCACCGGATTGAAATGTCTGAAATGACAGATAAAGAATTCAAAATATGGATTGCAAGGAAACTTAGGTCCAAGAGATAGTTGGAATCCCATATAAGGAAACTAGAAAAACACTTCAAGATATGAAAGACAATATAGATACATAAAAAAAAAAAACAAGTTGAACTTCTGGAATTGAAAAATTCACTACAGATATTTAAATATATAGTTGGAAGTTTTAACAGTAGATTAGACTGAGTAGAAGAAAGAATTTCAGAGCTTGAAGAATAATCTTTCAAACAGATTGTAACTAATGACAGTTTAAAAAAAGGCAAAAGTAAAGAAAAATAATTTAAAAAAACAAAGTCTGAGAAATATGGGATTGTGCAACCAAACCTATGACTTATTGGCATTGCTGAGACAAAAGAAGAAAAAGCGACTTGGAAAACCTATTTGAGGGAGTAATACAGGAAAATTTCCTTAATCTTGCTAGAGAGGTTGACATCTACATACAGGAAATCCAGAGAACTCCTGTGAGATACTATACAGTATGGCCTCCCCTGAGGCATATAGTCCTCAGACTAAGGTCAATGTAAAAAACAAAAACAAGAAACCTTAAAGGCAGCTAGAGAAAAGGGCCAAATTACATATAAAGGAAATTCCATCAGACTTGCAGTGAATTTCTTAGCAGAAACCTTACAAGCCACAAGAGATTGGGGGCCCATTTTTAGCCTTCTTAAAGAAAAATAAATGCCAGCCAATAATTTTACATCCCACCAAGCTAAGTTTCATAGATGAAGGGAAATAAAATATTTCTCAGACAAGGAAATGTAAGGGAATTTGTCACCACTAGATCAGCCTGAAAAGAAATGGTCAAAGGAGTTCTAAACATGACAACAAAAGAACAGTACTTGCTACCATAAAAGTACAAAGTAAGTACAAAGCCCACAGACCCTATAAAGCGACTACACAATCAAGACTGCAAAGCTGCTAGCCAAAAACACTATGACAGAAACAAAGCCTCACATATCAACGTTAACCTTGAACGTAAACATCCTAAATACAGCACTTAAAAGACGTAGAGTGACAAATTTGATTAAAAAAAAAATAAGACCCAGCTTTCTGTTGCCTTCAAGAGACCCATCTCACATGTAACGACACCCAGAGGCTCAAAGTAAAGGGATGGAGAAAGACCTATCACGCAAACAGAAAACAAATAAGGTGAGAGGGTGCTATCTTTTTTAATCCAATAAAAGAGATCGTAAACTAATAACAGTTAAAAAAGAGAGAGAGACTGTTCAGTTCAACCAGACCATCTAACCATCCTCCCAACATCAGAGCACCCAGATTCATAAGACAAATACTACTAGACGTAAGAAAAAAGATAGCCATACAATAATTGTGAGGGACTTCAACACCCCATTGACAGAATTAGGCAGATCGTTGAGGCAGAAAATAAATTCTGGACTAAATTGGACAGTTGACCAAATGGACCTGATAGACATCTTCAGATTACTCCATGCAGTGACCACTGAATATACATTTTTCTCATCTGCACATGGAATATTCTCTAAGGTTAACCACATGCTTGGCCACGATGAAAGTCTTAAGAAATTTAAAAAAAAAATCATGTCAAGCATCTTCTCAGACCACAGTGGAATAAAATTAGAAATCAATACCAAGAGGAATCCTTCAAACCACACAAGTACATGGAAACTAAACAGCTTGCTCCTTAATGACTTTTGGGTAAACAAATTAAGGAAGCAATAAAAAAATTATTTGAAACGAATGAAAATAAAGACAGTTTTTAAGTGGGCTTTATTCCTGGGATGCAAGGACAGTTCAACATACACAAATCAATAAATGTGATTCATCACACAAACAGAATTAAAACCAAAGCCACATGATCATCTCAATAGCTGTAGAAAAAGCATTTGACAAAATCCAACATCCTTTATGATAAAAGACCTCAACAAACTGGGCATCAAAGGAATATACCTTAAAATGATAAGACCTGTCCATGACGAACCTGCAGCAAACTTCATAATGAATGGGCAAAAGCTGGACGCATTCACTCTAAAAACTGGAACAGGACAAGGATGTCCACTCTCACCACTCCTGTTCAACATAACATTAGAAGCCTTAGAGCATTCAGGCACAAGCAAGAGATAAAAGATGTACAAATAGGAAGAGAGAAAGTCAAATCATTTCTGTTTACCAATGATATGATTCTATATCTAGAAAACCCTAAAGATTCCTCCAAAACACTCCTAGATAAATGACTTCAATAAAGTTTCAGGATACAAAATCAATATACAAAAATCATTAGCAGTTTTCTACACCAATAATGTTCAAGTTGAGAACCAAATCAAGAATTCAATCCCATTTACAATAGCCACACAAAAAATAAAATACCTGTGGACACATTTAACCAAGGAGATGAAAGACTTCTACAAGGATAACTTTTCAAAACACTGATGAAAGAAATCACAGATGACAGAAATGTAAAAACATTTCACGCTCATGGATAAGAAGAATCAACATTGTTAATGACCATACTACTCAAAGCAATCTACAGATTCAACACAATTCCTATCAAATTACCAATATGATTTTCCACATAATTATATAAAACAATTCTAAAATTCATATGGAACCAAAAAAAGAGCCCAAATAGAGCAATCCTAAACAAAAAGAACACAGCTAGAGGCATCACATTACCTGACTTCAAATTATACTACAAGGCTATAGTAACTAAAACAGCATGGTACTAATACAAAAATAGGCACAGAAATAAATGGAACTGAATAGAGAACTCAGAAATTAAGCCACACATAGCCAACTAATCTTTGACAAAATCAACAAAAATAAACAGTGGGGAAGGACGTCCTATTCAATAAATGGTGCTGGAAAAACTGGCTAGCCATGTGCAGAAGAATGAAGAAAATCTAGGAAAAATTCTTCTGGACCTTGGCCTAGGCAAAGGATTTATGACTAAGACCACAAAAACAAATGCAACAAAAACAAACACAGACAACTGGGACTTAAGAGCTTCTGCACAGGCCAGGTGCGGTGGCTCATGCCTATAATCCCAGCCCTTTGGGAGGCCGAGGTGGGTGGATCATGAGGTCCAGAAATTGAGACCATCCTGGTCAACAAGGTGAAACCCCGTCTCTACTAAAAAAAATACAAAAAATTAGCTGGGCATGGTGGTGTGCGCCTGTAGTCCCAGCTCCTCGGGAGGCTGAGGCAGGAGAATTGCTTGAACCCAGGAAGTGGAGGTTGCGGTGAGCTGAGATCGTGCCATTGCACTCCAGCCTGGGTAACAACAGTGAAACTCTCTCCAAAAAAAAGAGCTTCTGCCCAGCAAAAGAAACAACAGAGTTGCCGGGCATGGTGGCTCATGCCTATAATCCCAGCACTTTGGGAGGCCGAGGCAGGTGGATCATGAGGTCAAGAGATCAAGACCATCCTGGTCAACAAGGTGAAACCCCGTCTCTACTAAAAATACAAAAATTAGCTGGGCACGGTGGTGCGCGCCTGTATTCCCAGCTACTCGGAAGGCTGAGGAAGGAGAATTGCTTAAACCCAGAAGGCGGAGTTTGTGGTGAGCCAAGATCATGCCATTGCACTCCAGTCTGGGTAACAACAGTGAAACTCCTTATCAAAAAAAAAAAAAAAAAAAAAAAAAAAAAAAAAAAAAGAACAAAGACAACCTATAGAACAGGAGAAAATATTTGCATCTTTGCATCCAATAAAGGACTAGTATCAGCTGGGCACTGGGGCTCACGCCTGTAATCCCAGCACTTTTGGAGGCTGAGGTAGGTGGATCACTTGAGGTCAGGATTTTGAGACCAGCCTGGCCAACATAGTGAAGCCCCATCTCTATTAAAAATACAAAAGTTAGCTAGGCGTGGTAGTGGGTGCCTGTAATCTAACTGCTGGGGAGAATCCCTTAAACCCAGGAGGTGGACATTGCAATGAGCTGAGACAGCGCCACTGCACTCCAGCCTGGATGACAGAGTGAGACTCTGTCTTAAAAAAAAAAAAAGGTCTAGCACCCAAAATCTGTAAGAAACCTAAATCAACAAGAAAAATAAATCCTAAAACATGGGCAGTCTTGCTCCAGGGTTCATGCTTATAACCTTTGTGCTAGGAGAATGCCTTACCATACATGCAGCCACCAGGAGTATAAGTAGTAACCAGCATAGAGGTGAACACCCTGTTTAATCAGATTTCTTTTATTCATTTCCCAAAAGTGGATTGAGTCCTCCTGCCCACCAGGCACTGCAGTTACAGTAGTAAATAAGACAGACAACCCTGACCTCAAGGGGCTGATGTTTCTGATAAACAAATGAGCACATAATATGTCAGTGTCAAAAAATCCTAAGGAAGAAAAAAAGTAGCCAAATGGAAATTAGGTAGTAATGGGATGGTTTATTGTTTGCTATTTCAAACATGGAAGTTAGGGAGGGCTTCACCAAGGAAGTGACACTGAGCAGAGACCCACGAGAAGGAGGTGAGGGAACAAGCTATGTGGCTAACTAGGGGAAAATACCTTCCCACAGAGCTCATGGAAAGACCTGGAGGCAGGACTGTGTCTGGCGTGTTGGAGGAACAGTGAGGAGGACCGTCTGGCTAGAACAGAGTGATATAATGGGAGAGGGAGGAGAGGAGAGGAGGAAGGAGATGGGGCTAGGTTTGCACGGCCTTATGGGCCTCAGGAGGACTTGGGCTTTTACCTGGAGGGAGGTGGGAGCCAAGGAGGGCTGCAGACAGAGGAGGAATGGGACCTGACTCAGGTGCTCACAGGTGCCCTCTGGTAGCTGTAGAAAGGACAGACCAGGGAGTGAGGGTGAGAGTTGAGTGGGAGATGGGTAACAGAATGGAGTGGAAGCAACGACGCAGGTGCAGAGAGTGATGAGGGGGACTGGACCAGAAATAATATTTTTCCATATTATGTATCATACAGTTGAGTCCCAGATCATCTTGTTATAAGGGCTTCTGTAATGTCTGAACTTCTAATTTTTACTCCAATGATTTATTGCCAGGCTTGAAGTCTGCTTTCCTTGTTGTTATAGTAAAATGTATGCATCAAGTTTTACAGGAAGCCAAAATCCGATCTCTAAAAACAATTTAAAATTTAGGCCAGGTGCAGTGGCTCATGCCTGTAATTCCAGCACTTTGGGAGGCCAAGCCAGGTGGATCACCTGGGGTCAGGAGTTTGAGCCAGCCTGGTCAACATGGTGAAACCCCATCTCTACCCAAAATACAAAAAGTTAGGTGTGCTGGCACTGGCTTGTAGTCCCAGTTACTCAGGAGGCTGAGGCACAAGAATTGCTTGAACTCAGGAGGCAGGAGTGGGCGGACAGAGTGAGACTCTGACACACACACACACACACACACACACACACACACACACCCTTTCTTACTCAAAGGAACCATCATTGTCTGACGGGTGCATATCCTGCCAGATACTTTTCTGCTTTTGACCTGACCAGCATTCCTTGCTCTCAATGGCTGCACTCTGCTGCCCCCTAGTGAAGCAACTACACTACTCTCTATCCCCCAGTGGTGAAGGAGCCACTGGGTGCTAGACCCTGGAATGCCATCCATGCTGCCCCTGGAAGCCAAGAAGAGAAACAGCCCAAAGGCCACCACTCCAGAGCAAAGGGACTTTGGCATACGTTGTCATGACTGAGCATCACTCCCTTGGGTATGCCTGTGGTCCCCGAAGTGTAGATGATCACGGCGCACTGATTTGCCTTCTGGCTCTGGATGACTTTCTCCAGTTGGGTGTCAGGGATGCTTCTGCCAAGTTCCATGAAATCATCCCACTGTGGACAGAAAAGACAAGCGGAAGATGGGAAGGCAGTCAGGAGTCCTTTTCCCCAGCCAGACCTCATCCTATCAGCTTTTCCTAAAGAATGATTCTCAGCAGGTGGAAGACCTTATGATGTACCAGTCCTGGCACCTCTTATGAAAGTCCCAAGATATTTGCTTCCAGTTCTGCCACTTCCTCGCAGTGTCACCAAGCCACTTAAGCTCCCTGTGCCTTAGTTTCCTCATTTGTAAGATAGGAATGATGTCAGGATGCAACTTCTTGGGCTGTTCTAAGCAGTAAGACAGTAAATACATGCAAAGCGCTGAGGACAGTCGTTGGCAGGTGGTAAGTGCTCTACAGAGCTAAGTATTATCTGCTTGCTGCCTTCCCAAATTCCACTCCCCACCCCAGCTTCTTAGTCAACAATTGGATGGGGCTAACCCCACCCACGGATCCAGAAGCCAACCCTAATTTGTTTAAACTAGAGTATTCCTTTTTTTTTAATTAATTAATTTTATTTATTTTTTCTTTCTTTTTTAAAATATATATATTTTATTGTGTTTTAGGTTTTGGGGTACATGTGAAGAACATGCCAGATTGTCGCATAGGTACATACATGGCAATGTAGTTGGCTGCCTTCCTCCCCATCACTTATATTTGACATTTCTCCCCATATTATCCCTCCCCAACTCCCCACCCCCTCGCTGTCCCTCTCTAGTTCCCCCCTCACAGACACCAGTGTGTGATGCTTCCCTCCCTGTGTCCATGTGTTCTCATTGTTCAACACCCGCCTATGAGTGAGAACATGCGTTGTTTGATTTTCTGTTCTTGTGTCATTTTGCTGAGAATGATGGTTTCCAGGTTCATCCATGTCCCTACAAAGGACACGAACTCATCAGTTTTTATGGCTGCATAATATTCCATGGTGTATATGTGCCACATTTTCCCTGTCCAGTCTATCATCGATGGGCATTTGGGTTGGTTCTAAGTCTTTGCTATTGTAAACAGTGCTGCAATGAACATTTGTGTGCATGTGTCCTTATAATAGAACAATTTATAATCCTTTGGATATATACCCAGTAATGGGATTGTTGGGTCAAATGGAATTTCTATTTCTAGGTCCTTGAGGAATCACCACACTGTCTTCCACAATGGTTGAACTAATTTACACTCCCACCAACAGTGTTAAAGTGTTCCTATTTCTCCACATCCTCTCCAGCATCTGTTGTCTCCAGATTTTTTAATGATCGCCATTCTGACTGCTGTGAGATGGTATCTCAATGTAGTTTTGATTTGCATTTCTCTAATGACCAGTGACAATGAGCATTTTTTCATATGTTTGTTGGCCTCATATATGTCTTCTTTTGTAAAATGTCTGTTCATATCCTTTGCCTACTTTTGAATGGGCTTGTTTGTTTTTTTCTTGTAAATCTGTTTTAGTTATTTGTAGATTCTGGATATTAGCCCTTTGTCAGATGGGTAGATTGCAAAAATTTTTTCCCATTCTGTTGGTTGCTGATTCACTCTAATGACTGTTTCTTTTGCCTTGCAGAAGCCCTGGAGTTTAGTTAGGTCCCGTCTGTCTATTTTGGCTTTTGTTGCCGGTGCTTTTGGTGTTTTAGTCATGAAGTCCTTGCCTGCGCCTATGTCCTGAATGGTTTTGCCTAGCTTTTCTTCTAGGGTTTTTATGGTGTTAGGTCTTATGTTTAAATCTTTAATCCATCTGGAATTAATTTTAGTGTAAGGTGTCAGGAAGGGGTCCAGTTTCTGCTTTCTGCACATGGCTAGCCAGCTTTCCCAACACCATTTATTAAACAGGGAATCCTTTCCCCATTCCTTGTTTTTGTGAGGTTTGTCAAAGATCAGATGGTTGTAGATGTGTGGTGTTGCCTCCAAGGCCTCTATTCTGTTCCATTGGTCTGTATCTCTGTTTTGGTACCAGTATCATGCTTAAACTATTCTATCCGCCTGGGTTATGGTGATGGGATCAAGTCTGGGCATGTGACCTCCAGTGGTCCAATCACAATGAAGATGAAGACTACCTGGGAATTCTGAGACAGGCTGTGGATGAGTCAAGATGTAGCTCTGAGAGCTGCTAAACCATCTCAGGACTATGCAAGAAAGCAAGGCTGGAAAGCCAAGAAATTGAGAAAGTAAAATAGACCCTGGGCACATTCTTTGAGCCCCTGGTTCCAGCCATGCCTGAAATCCACGCCCTGAACTGTAGTTGCGTGGTCTAACAAATTATCCTTTTTTTTTTGCTTAAGCTATTTGGGGTCAGGCTTTTGTCACTTGCGACCAAAGGCACCCTTATTGATAATCAATACATTGCCTCACTCTGGCAGATGAGGAAGTTGAGGCTCCCGGGTGGCAGATTACTTGCCCAAGGCAGATTACTTAAGGCAAGTGAAGAGAGGAACTAACATTCAAACCAAAGGTCTGATTCCAGAGCCTGTGCTCTTGACTATGACAGAATTCGGTGCCTCAAAGTGAACTCTTGGGTTGTATCGACTGAGTATCAATTCTACCACTGATCCCCCAACAAGGTTCTGTGAGGGCAATGCACTGACTTAAAGATAGAGGCACCTTGACTGGGCGCAGTGGCTCATGTCTGTAATCCCAGCACTTTGGAAGGCCGAGGTGGGTGGATCACGAGGTCAGAGTTTGAGATCCACCTGGCCAGCATGGTGAAACCCCGTCTCTACTAAAAATACAAAAATTAGCTGGGCATGGCGGTGGGCGCCTGTAATCCCAGCTACTCAGGAGGCTGAGGCAGGAGAATCGCTTGAACCTGGGAGTCAGAGGTTGCATTGAGCCGAGATCACACCACTGTACTCCCTTTGTAAAGCCCACCTTACTACATTTGGGAAGGTCCACCCACATCCCTTTCCAAAGCCCCACCCACTTCCCTTGCCAGGCCCCACCCCCTCTCTTTGCTCACCTCCCACTTTCTTTGAAAGGTCACACCCACTTCCCTTGTAAGGACTCACCCCTACCCTCAGCTCACCTTTCACATCCTTTGAAAGTTCACACCCGCTTCCCTCACAAGGCCCCACCTACTTCCTTTCCTCACCTTTTACTTCTCTTCAGAGCCCCACCTACTTGCTTTGAGAATTCCTGTCCTTGCCAGGTACCACCCCCTCCCTCTGCTCACATTCCACTACCTTAGGCTACGCCCACTTTCTTGCAAGGCCCCGCCCTCCCCTTGCCCCAGTGCGCACCTCCCACACTTACAGAGTACAAATTGTTGCTGTTCTTCACTGGCAGTCTGTACTGGATGATCGCTTTTAGGGGCTCCAGCCTGCTCTGTGGAATCTGAAAGAAAGTTCCCTGTGGGCCTCATGTCAAGCCAGCCCTGGGAAAGACTAAAGCTGGGTTGGGTATCCTAAGGTCTCTCCAGGAACTCCAGTCCGCCCCCCCCCCCAACTTTTTTTTTTCTGAGACACCGTCTTGCTCTGTCACCCAGGCTGGAGTGCAGTGGCACAATGTGGGCTCACTGTAACGTCCACTTCCCAGGTTCAAGCCATTCTCCCACCTCAGCCTCCTGAGTAATTGGGATTACAGGCATGTGCCACTATGCCAGCTAATTTTGTATTTTTAGTAGAGACGAGTTTTCGCCATGTTAGCCAGGATGGTCTCGATCTCTTGACCTCGTGATCCACCCGCCTCGGCCTCCCAAAGTGCTGGGTTAGCAGGTGTGAGCCACCACACACAGCCATTTTGTGGGTTTGGTAGAGATGGAGTTTCAGTTGGCCAGGCTAGTCTCAAACTCCTGACCTTAGGTGATCTGCCTGCCGTGGCATCCCAAAAGGGTTGGGATCACAGGCATGAGCCACCACACCCAGCCCAAAACATGTTTTAAAAGTTAGCCCAGTGTGGTGGTACATGATACATGGTCCCAGCTACTGAGAGGGCTGAGGTGGAAGGATCAGTTGAGACCAGGAGTTGAAGGCTACGGTGAGCTATGATCACAACATTGCACTCCAGGCTGGGGAACAGAGGGAGACCCTGTCTCAAAATTAAAAATAAAAAGAAGACTGAGTATTAAATAAACTAAGTTAATATGAATTGGAAATCAAACTCTTCCACTTCACTCTGCTCCTCCAAAGATCAGCTTCACCACATATACTAATGAAGTTATGGAGGACTCCTGCTGGCCTGGTGCATGGCCCTATCTTATCCTGAGAATCTACCTGGGAAGAAAAGACACCTGCCCAGAGCCCTGAGGTCCCCCTGGCTGGCTTTTGCAGGGTTTACCGAAAGGATTTTCTCCAACTGTTGATCGTTCTCAACCAGCAAGATGTTCACTTTGGCATTAGTGATGACATATTGACAAGCCTCGGCAGAGTTGGTGGCATAAATACCCACACAAAGGCCCCTGGGAAAAGAAAACAGGTTTGTGTGTGCATCCACACACAGCTTAAAGGCGGAATGGTCTGGAAGGTCAAGAGAGAGGAAAGGTTTGTAGGCAAGTCCCTAAGTTTGCTGTCACCGCGCCAGCTTCCCTTCCTCCCTACCTTAACCATGAAGACAACAAAATGACGATGATGATGAGTGACAGCTACTACGATGTCATTATGTCGTAGGTCGTGGGACACTTACAACACCCCATTTTACAGATGAGGAAAGCAAGGGTCCAGCAGTGAAGTCACTCGTCCACGATTACATAGTAGGTAGGTGTTAGACCTGGGATCTGAACTCCTCACTCAGCCCCAGTCCCCATCATTCACAGCAGGTGGCATTGTCTTGTGCTTTTAATTTGTATTTCCCAGTGGCTAATGATACTGAGCCTTTTGGCTACTTCCCTTTGTGGCATTTCTTTGCCCCTTTCGATTTTTTTTTTTTTTTTTGGTCTTATATTACTGAGTTACAGAATTTCTTTATATATCTTAGATACCAGTCCTTGGTCAGATTTGAGTTTTATGAATATTTTCTCCAAGTATACAGTTTGCCTTTCCTTTCTCTCTCCCTTTCTTTCTCTCTCTCTTTCTTTCCTTCCTTCCTTCCTTCCCTCCCTCTCTCCTTCCCTCTTTCTCTCCCTCCCTCCCTCACTCTCTCTCTCCCCTTCTTTGTTTTTCTACCTTCCTTTCTTCCTTCCTTTCTTTTTTTTTCTCTTTCTTTCTTTCTACAGGGTCTAGCTCTGTCACCCAGGCTAGAGTGCAGTGGTGCAATCTCAGCTTACTGCAACCTCCATCTCTTAGACTCAACCAATTCTCCTGCCTCAGCCTCCTGAGTAGCTGGGATTATAGTCATGCACCACCACACCTGGCTGATTTTTGTATTTTTTGTAGGGAAGGGGTTTCACCATGTTGCCCAGGCTGGTCTCGAACTCCTGGCCTCCAGTGATTCACCCATCCCTACCTTGCAAAGTGCTGGGATTCCAGGCCTGAGCCACCCACACTCAGCAACTGTTCCTCTTGTTGGTGTCTTTTAATAAGCAGGAGTTTTTAATGCTAATAAATTCCTATTTGGCAATCTTTCCTCTTATGCCTTTTGCTCTCTGCATCCTGTCTAAGAAATCTTTGGCTACCTACATACTGTGAAACCATTCTGCGATCTCCTTTTTCTAGAAGCTTTAGAATTTAATTTGTATGATTTGGTCTGTAATCCATCTCAATTTAATTTTTGGATATGATGTGAGGTAGGGATCAGGGCTGGTCTATTTTTCCATACAAATATCCAGTTGGTCCAGCACCACTGGATTACTCTGGTGTCTTTGTTGGAAGCCAGTGACCATGTACGCATGGAGCTATTTCTGGGCTTCCTGCTCCGTTGATCTAGTGCTTTTCATACGGCAGAGAATGAGGCACATTACAATGATCTGAACTGGTTACTCATCACCATTTTTAAGCACATACTATTTGCTTATGGCACATACACTGTGCTTATGGAGCATCATCTTACTGAATCTTCATAACAGCTCTGTGAGGCATGGAGGTGTGTTGCTTTCCTGCCCATTCATACAGAACACAAAATAGCAGACGACCCAAGATTTGAACTTGGGTCTAATGTGACACCAGAGCCCAATCACTGCATGACACTGTCTTGCCATTCAGTCCTAAAATGGGGACATATCTCTTTATTAAAATTTATTCTAGGCCAGGCACAGTGGCTCACGCCTGTAATCCCAGCACTTTGGGAGGCCGAGGCTGGTGGATCACCTAAGGTTAGGAGTTTGAGACCAGCCTGGGCAACATGGAGAAATCCCGTCTCTACCAAAAATACTAAATTTAGCTGGCCATGGTGCATGCCACTAGTCCCAGCTACTCGGGAGTCCAAGGCAGGAGAATCACTTGAACCCAGGAGGCGGAAGTTGTGATGAGCTGAGATCACACCACTGCACTGCAGCCTGGGCAACAGAGTGAGACTCTGTTTCAAAAAAACATATGCATATATATACATGTATATTTCAACTTACTGTCAAGACAGGGTTAGTATATGCTCATAAAAATTTGGAAAATAGAATATCACATATTAGGGTGTTCTTAATGTCAATGATGAGATTTAACATTAATATTTCTTTCTAGTCACCACCCTCAATTTCTTTTTTCTCTTTTCTCTCTCTCCCTCTCTCTCTATTTTTTTTTTTTTTTTAAGAGACAGGGTCTCACTCTGTTGCCCAGTGTGATGATAGTTCACTGCAGTTTCGACTTCTTGGGCTCAGACCATCCTCCCACCTCTGCCTCCCAAGTAGTTGGAACCGCCGGCACACACCACCACACCTGGCTAATTTTAAAAACTTTTTTTTGGAGACAGAATCTTGCTATGTTGCCCAGGCTGGTCTTGAACTCGTGGGTTAAGGTGATGCTCCCACCTCAGCCTCCCAAAGTGCTGGGATTACAGGTGCGAATCACTGCACCCAGCCCCTGAATTTTGTCATGGCTGCTGCTGCTGCTGTTGTTATTATTATCATTAATCTTGAGTTGAACAAACTTGAGCTCAGATCTCAGGGTCTTTAGCCAATGGCAGCATGATTCTGGGGAAGACCCTTAACCCCTATTGGTCCCAGATTATCGTCACCATCATTACTACTGGGGATCATGATGGCGCCCACTTCAAAGGGCTACCATGAGCAGTCAATATCGTGTGGTAAGAGTGACCAGCAACAATTGGTATATTAATAGTTGGTATTTTAAATTTTAAATGTAGTTGTAACCATACAGTGTGTAAAGATTTGGATAGCTGCTTTGTCACCTCTGACATAAAAACAATGTTTAAAATGTGCTCTTCAGAGCCATCATTTCAAAATATTACCCAGAATTCCATCCAGAAGGCATTTCATGGTGTAACCCCCAGCTGTGGGACACTTACGTTGTTCCCGACTTTTTGCCATCACTAGCAACACTTCTAAGAAGCATTTTTGTGCATAAGCCAAAATATTTTCATGTTTTGGTTTTGTTTCTTATCTTTTTTTTTTTTTTTTTTTTTTTGAGACAGAGTTTCGCTGTTGTTACCCAGGCTGGAGTGCAGTGGCGCGATCTCGGATCACCGCAGCCTCCACCTCCTGGGTTCAGGCAATTCTCCCGCCTCAGCCTCCTGAGTAGCTGGGATTACAGGCACGCGCCACCATGCCCAGCTAATTTTTGTATTTTTAGTAGAGACGGGGTTTCACCATGTTGACCAGGATGGTCTCGATCTCTTGATCTCGTGATCCACCCGCCTCAGCCTCCCAAAGTGCTGGGATTACAGGCGTGAGCCACCGCGCCTGGCCGGTTTTGTTTCTTTAAGTAAAATTCCCAAAGGTAGAATTACCAGCTCAAAAAGAAATCAGTATTTTAGGCTGGGCGTGATGGCTCACACCTATAATCCCAGCACTTTGGGAGGCCAAGGCAGGTGGATCGTGAGGTCAGGAGTTCGAGACCAGCCTGGCCAACATGGTGAAACCCTCCTCTCTACTAAAATACAAAAAATTAGCCAGGCATGGTAGTGCGCACCTGTGGCAGGAGAATCACTTGAACTTGGGAGGTGGAGGTTGCAGTGAGCCGAGATCGCACCACTGCACTTCCACCTGGAGACAGAGTGAGACTCCATAAAAAAAAAAAAAAAAAATGAGTATTTTATTTTTACCTTTTTTATTTCACGATTACAGCCTGGGCAACATAGCAAGACCCATCTGTACAAAAAAAATTAGCTGGGTGTGGTGGCATGTGCTCATAGTCACAGTTACTCTGGAGGCTGAGGTGGGAGGATGGCTTGAGCCCAGAACTTTAAGGCTGCAGTGAGCAATGATTGCGCCACTGCCCTACAGCCTGGGTGACAGAGCGAGACCCTGTCTCACAGAAACCCCAAAGTAAGGTAGCATCTGGACTGGATTATCATCATTTATTTAAAGACTGAGTCATCTGGTAAAGCAGCCCCCAGAGGTGAACAAAACACAGTGAATGCCATGGAGGTTAATGTCGGGGTATCCCGGCCCCTCCCTCACTCCCAGGTAACGTAACTAGAGGAATTCCCTTGTGTGTGTGTGTGTGTGTGTGTGTGTTTGAGAGAAGAGCTGGGTTTTGGGGCTGTTGTTGTTTTTGAGACAGAGTCTTTCTCTGTTGCCCAGGCTGGAGTGCAATGGCGCGATCTCGGCTCACTGCAATCTCCACATCCTGGGTTCAAGCAATTCTCCTACCTCAGCCTCCCAAGTAGCAAGGATTACAGGCACCCACTACCACACCCAGCTAATTTTTGTATTTGTTTTAGTAGAGGTGGGGGGTTTTGCCATGTTGACCAGGCTGGTCTCAAACTCCTGACCTCAGGTGATTTGCCCCACCTCAGCCTCCCAAAGTGCCGGGATTACAGGCGTGAGCCACCACACCCAGCTGTTTAATAGGTTTAAAAAACCATTTTTTTAAAAATTTTTATTTTTAGAGCAGGATGCTGGCCCTGCTGCCCACTGGCTGTATGAGTTTCAGTTTCCTCATCTGTAAATCGGGGATGATAGGACCCACTTCACACTGCTGTCCTGAGATTTTTACGGGATCATGCGCATGGAGCACAGTGCTTCGGCACATAATCAGAAACCTCTAAATGCTATCTGTGATTATTATTTTGTCTGCGAGAAGTTGTTCAGCTGCAGAAAATCGAGAGGTTTTGCAGCCATAAAAAAGGATGAGTTTATGTGCAGGGACATGGATGAAACTGAAAACCATCATTCTTAGCAAACTGACACAAGAACAGAAAACCAAACACCGCATGTTCTCACTTGTAAGTGGGTGTTGAACAATGAGAACACAGACACAGGGAGCGGAACATCACACACCAGGGACTAGGGGGTGGGGGGCTATCGGAGGAATAGCAGAGGGTGGAGGGATTGGGGAGGGATAGCATTAGAAGTACCTCATGTAGATGACAGGGTGATGAATGCAGGAAACCACCATCATGGCACGTGTACACCTATGTATCAAACCTGCACGATCTGCACAGGTACCCCAGAACTTAAACTATAGTAAAATAAAAAGAAAGAAAGAAAATCACGAACCAAGCCAATGATCTTACCCGGCTAGGATGGCGCCGAGAGCAGTGATAAACCACTCCGCAGAGTTAAACCCCAGGATGCCAACTCCATGGAAACGCTCCAAGCCCAGCTGAGAAGGAAAAAACAAACAGAAAAAACATAAACACGGAGACCTCAGATCATGAGGACATGTGACGGTAGAGTCAAATGTAGTCACGTGGAGCCGGGCGCAGTGGCTCATGCCTGTAATCCCAGTACTTGGGGAGGCTAAGGTGGGAGAATTGCTTCAGGCCAGAAGTTCGACCCCAGTCTGGACAGCAAAGTGAGACCCCCCTGTCTTTACAAAGTAGAAAAGTTCGCAGGGCATGGTGGTGCCCACCTGTCGTCCTGGATACTTGGGAGTCGGGGGTAGGAGGAGCTCTTGAGCCCTAGAGTTCAAGGCTGCAGTGAGCTATGATTGCACCACCGCACTCCACCCTGGGGAACAGAGAGAGACCCTGTTTCAAAACTCACCAAAACAAAAATAGCCGCACAGGGTGGGAGACAGTGTTGAGCCTAAACTCATGTAATATTTTTAATTTTTGTGACTATGGGAGGTTTGTTTACCTTCCTCTGCATAACACACCATGTATTATTTTTCTTTTTATGTTTTGCGTTATTTTATTTATTGTGGTAAAATACATATAACATGGAATTTATCGTTTTCGCCTTTTTTTTTTTTTGACAGAGACTTGCTCTGTCGCCCAGGCTGAAGTGCAATGGCTCGAACTCCGCTCACTGCAACCTCCACCTCCCAGGTTCAAGCGATTCTCCTGCCTCAGCCTCCTGAGTAGTTAGGATTACAGGCACGCACCACCATGCCTGGCTAATTTTTGTATTTTTAGCAGAGACAGCATTTCACCATGTTGGCCAGGCTGGTCTCGAACTCCTGACCTCAAGCAATCCTCCCACTTCGACCTCCCAAAGTGCTCACGCCCATAATCCACCACACTCAGCCCGTTTTCACCATGTTTAAGAGTGCCGTTCAGTGACACTAAGCACATTCACGTGGTTGTACAAGCAACTCCACCATTCATCTCCAGAACTTCCTCCTCTTCCTAAACTGAAACTCTGTTTGTAAAAAAACACTCACTCCCAGCCAGGCGAAATGGCTCATGCCTGTCATTCCGGCACTTTGGGAGGCCGAGGTGGGCGGATCACGAGGTCACAAGATTGAGACCATCCCAGCTAACATGGCAACCCCTGTCTCTACTAAAAATACAAAAAATTAGCTGGGCATTGTGGCATGTGCCTATAGTCTCAGCTACTCAGGAAGCTGAGGCAGAAGAATCGCTTGGACTGGGGAGGCGGAGGTTGCAGTGATCCAAGACTGTACCACTGCACTCCAGCCTGGGTGACAGAGCAAGACTCCGTCTCAAAAAAAAAAAAAAAAAAACACACCAAAAAAAGCAAAGCAAAAAACACTCCCTATCCCCTTCCCCAGCCCCTGGCACCTCCCATTCTACTTTCCGTATCTGTGAATCTAATGAGTCTAAGGACCTCCTAGGAGTGAAATCACACAGGATTCGTCCTTTTGTGTCTGGCTTACTTCACTGAGTGTGATGTCCTCAGGGTTCATCCATGTTGTAGCGTTGTGTCAGAACTTCCTTCCTTTTTGTGGCTGAATCGGTTTCCCTCCTGTGGGCGGACTACATGGTGTTCATCCATTCTTCCACCCTCTGGCTCTTGTGAGTAATGCTGCTATGAACCTGAGTCTACAGATAACTCTCCATGTCCCTGGCTTTCATTTTGGTTGTTGTTGTTGCTAAAATCCAGAAGCAGGATTGCCGAATCATACAGTAATTCTCTGTTTACATGTTTTTTAAGAAACTGCTAGACTGTTTTCCACGGTGGCAGCACCACGTTACATTCCCACCAGCATTGCTCGAGGAGTCCTCCAGCTTTTCCATATCCTCCCCAACACGTGTTGTGTTTTGCTATTTTTAAAATCATAGCTATCTTGAAGGGTGTGAATTTATTTTTATTTTTAATGAAAGTACTCAAGGAGTGATATCAGATAATCGTGATAAGTTGCACAGGTAGGTTGGGGGCGGTGGTTCATGCCTGTAACCCAAGCACTTTGGGAGGCCAAGGCGGGCAGATCACCTGAGGTCAGGACTTCTAGACCAGTTTGGGCAACATGGTAAAACCCCACCTATTAGCCGGGCATCATGGCAGGCACCTGTAATCCCAGCTACTCAAGAGGCTGATACAGGAGAATCTCTTGAACCCACGAGGCAGAGGTTGCAGTGAGACGAGATGGCGCCACTGCATTCCAGCCTGGGTGACAGAGCGAGACGCTGTCTCAAAAAAAAAATGTTGCACATGTAAAGGTACAGGCTTGTCCTGAATGTGGTTGAGAACGAACCAGGAAACTCAGAAACGAAAGTGACCATCTTTTTTTTTCTTTTTTTGAGAAGGAGTTTTGCTGTTATTACCCACCCCGGAGTGCAATGGCACAATCTCGACTTACCGCAACCTCCACCTTCTGGGTTCAAGCAATTCTCCTGCCTCAGCCTCCCGAGTAGCTGGGACTACAGGCGCGCACCAGCATGCCCAGCTAATTTTTGTATTTTTAGTAGAGACGGGGTTTCACCTTGTTGACCAGGATGGTCTCGATCTCTTGACCTTGTGATCCACCCGCCTCGGCCTCCCAAAGTGCTAGGATTATAGGCATGAGCCACTGCACTTGGCGAAAGTGACCATCTTTAGGGGAAAACTTGCTCTTTGTTCTGGGTGCCGCCAGCCAACATCGTTGGCTCTTTTAGTCATACAGAATCAAGGCTGGCAATGATCTGCTGTTCTTGGGGAAAAGGGACCATTTGGAAGGCGTCTGTCTGCTGGTGCTTCAGATTGAGTTGCCAAGTGTTTCAGTGACCAAAAGACTGTCTTCACCATGGACAGCGTGTGTTTTTATTAATGCATAGTCAGACTGATTAATTTCTATTTGGGTCTCCAAGGTGTTTTTTTCTTGTTTCTTTGTTTTGAGATGGAGTCTCACCCAGGCTGGAGTGCAATGGCATGATCTCAGCTCACTGTAAACTCCGCCTCCCTGGTTCAAGTGATTCTCCTGCCTCAGCCTTCGGAGTAGCTGGGACTACAGGCATGTGCCACCATACCTGGCTAATTTTTTGTTTGTTTCTTTGTTTTGAGACAGGGTCTAGCTCTGTTACCCAGGCTAGAGTGCAACGGCTCAATCTCAGCTCAGTGCTACCTCCACCTCCCGGGTTCAAGCAATTCTCCCTGCCTCAGCCTCCCAAGTAGCTGGGGTTACAGGCACACACCCCCACACCCAGCTATTTTTTTGTACAGACAGGGTGTTGCCATGTTGGCCAGGCTGGTCTGGAACTCCTGACCTCGGGTGATCCACCCACCTCAGCCTCTCAAAGTGCTGGGATTACAGGTGTGAGCCACCACACCCAGCCAAATTTTTGTATTTTTAGTATAGATGGGGTTTCACCATGTAGTCCAGGCTGGCCTGGAACTCCTGACCTCAGGCGATCCACCTGCCTTGGCCTCTCAAAGTGCTGGGATTATAGGCATGAGCCACCATGCTTCGCCAGGTCCCCAAGATTTAGGGGAGGAGGGGGACCTTTAACTGCATGGAACTGAGAACATGACTAGAGGGGACAGTTTCAGGAGAGATGAACCAGCTCCACAGTGACATGGTATGAGGGTGGGGCCACCAAGAAGAAACCCAGCACAAGCACATGGTTCTCTTTTTTTTCTTTAAGACATGGTCTCACTCTGTTGTTCAAGCTGGAGTGCAGTGGTGCAATCACCTGTCACTACAGCCTTGACCTCCCAGGCTCAAGTGATCCTCCCACCTCACCCTCCTGATAGCTGAGACTACAGGCATGTGCCACCGCACCTGGTTAATTTTTGTACTTTTTGTAGAGACCAGGGTCTCACTATGTTGCCCAGGCTGGTCTTGAACTCCTGGGCTCAGTGATCCTCCTGCTTCAGTGTCCCAAAGCACTAGGATTATAGATACGAGCCACTGTCCCCAGCCTTGTTCCCTCTTTCTTTTGTATCATTTATTCTAGGGGGGACTGGTAGCCGTGCTGTGAGGACACTGAAGCAATTCTGTGAAGGCCGTGGAATGAGGAACTGAGACTTCCTGCCAATAACCAACAATCTAGGTAAGTAAGCTTGGAAGTAAAGCCTCCAGCCCCAGTTGAGCCTTCAGATGAGATAGCCCCAGCTGATAGCTTGGCTGCAACCTCATGAGAGATCTGGAGCCAGAACCACCCAATTTCAAAGTAGCTCCTAAATTCTCAACCCACAGAAACTGTGAGATGATAAATGTTTGTCATTTCAAGTCACCATGTTTTTGGGACAATTTGTTATGCAGCAGTAACTAACTAATACATAGAGATACTATGTTAAGGGACAAATGAAAGATGGAGAACTATGGGTGTGTAAAAATTTGCATATATAAAAATCATATTATATATATATATATATATATACATAATTTATTTCCCAAAACACAAAAAATTGGCAGTGGTGGCTGTTTCCATGGAAAGGAACTGGGTGGCTGAGGCTCATGAATCAGAGGGAAATTTTTCACTAGTTAACCTTCGTATCTTTTGGAGTCCTGTGAATTTCGTACATGTATGTATGTGTATTACCTATTCAGAATGAATGGTTGACCAAAGGAGAATGAATGAATGGATCTTACTTTGATGAAAGATTTCGCAGCCTTCCAACAAGCCTTGTAGTACTGGTTGAAATTCAGAACTCCCCATTTTTTACTGTTCTTGAATGCGAGGGCTGGATAAGTTCCAAATCGGTTGACTGACTCTCGAAAAAATTCAGGGATGGTCATCGGGGTCTCATGGCCTGGTCCGTGTTTGGACAGCCTCAGAAGGACTTCTCCATCCTGGCAGGTAGTCCACAGCCTAGGAGTTACTGCAAACAATCACCAGAGTTGGGTGGCAAATGTTTTTATTTCTTTAGTAACTTTGGAGGGGTGGGAGTTACTGGTGTCTTTTTGGGCCTAAGGTGCCGAGAGTTGAATTAATCCCCTTTTAGGGTGAAGCTATGTGGTGAACAGGGGCTAGTCAAACTTCCTTTCTCTTTATTGTTTCATTCCCCCTGCAAATTGTTAATAAGTCGAAATGGATCGTATACCAAACACTCTCTTACCCAACACCTGCATTCTACGACCGCAAGCATTTTCCTGCTTCTTTTACCACACGTCTATCCTGCTATCTTTCTTATGTTCATCTTCCTTCCTTCCTTCTTTTCTTCCTTCCTTCCTTCTTTCTTTTGATACAGTCTTGCTCTGTCAGCAGGCTGGAGTGCAGTGGCACAATCAGCTCATTGCAACTTTGACCTCTAGGCTCAAGCCATCCTCCCACCTCAGCCTCCCAAATAGTCGAGAGCACCATGTCTAGCTAATTTATTATGTATTTATTTATTTATTTATTTTGAGACGGAGTTTCACTGTTGTTACCCAGAGTGGAGTGCAATGGCGCGATCTCGGCCCACCTCAACCTCCGCCTTCTGGGTTCAAGCAATTCTCCTGCTTCAGCCTCCCGAGTAGCTGGGACTACGGGCGCGCACCACCATGCCCAGCTAATTTTTGTATTTTTAGTAGAGATGGGGTTTCACCATGTTGACCAGAATGGTCTCGATCTCTTGACCTCGTGATCCACCCACCTCGGCCTCCCAAAGTGCTGGGATTATAGGCGTGAGCCACCGCGCCCAGCCTGCTAATTTATTTTTTAATGTTTTATAGAGATGGGGTTTTACTGTGTTTCTGAGGCTGATCTCAAACTTCTGGGCTCAAACAATCCTCCTGCCTCAGTTTCTCAAAGTACTGGGATTACAGGCATGAGTCACTACACTCGGCCCCATTTTATTATTACTATTATTATTATTTTTGAGATGAAGTCTCACTCTGTTGCCCAGGCTTCAGTGCAGTGGTGTGATCTTGGCTCACTGCAACTTCTGCCTCCCGGGTTCAAGTGATTCTCCTGCCTCAACTTCCCGAGTAGCTGGGACTACAGGCACCCACCACCACGTCCAGCTAATTTTTGTATTTTTAGTAGAGACAGGTTTCACCATGTAGCCCAGGCTGGTCTCAAACTCCTGACCTCAAGTGATCCACCTGCCTCAGCCTCCCAAAGCACTGGGATTATAGGCGTGCGCCATCATGCCTGGCCCCATCTGATTTTTTGATGCATTTCCAAGTGAGCCAAAGCTATTGACTCATTTTACCCTTAAACACCCTTGCATGCAAATCATTAACTAGAGTCACATATTTAATATCATTTACAGAGACTGTTTTAAAGGTAAAATGTACAGGCAGCAGACTACATATGCTTTGGCCAATGAAATGTAAGAAGTGAATGATGCGTGTCATTCACAGGGAGAAGATGTGAGAGCCGGTGTATAATTCACCATCATCCATTGTCCTGTCATAAAAATGGTGGAGCCAGTATCAAGAAGTAGCCCCGTCTCTCCGCATGGCAGAGGCACAACATGAGTAAGGAGCAAACTTGTGTTAAGCCATTGAGGTTGTTAAGCGTAAGAGAACGTCACCAGGGCAGGACTAACATCCATGCATCCTCCAGCGCCCAGCTCAAGAGCCCACTCCCAGACTCCCTGCCTGGATCACATCCTGTGATCAAGACCTCAGCACGCCTTGGGTCTCCTTCAGAATCATACGTGTGCATTTGTCTGTGTGATTCCAGGCCTCCCTGATTTTCCTGAACAGACCTCATCTGGTTTTGCTCATCTTTACGTTTTCAGCATCCAGCACAATGCCTGGCATTAAGGTCATGGCTCCACAAAAATGTCATAAACGCTCGCCAGGGGCGGTGGCTCATGCCTTAATGCCAGCACTTTGGGAGGCTGAGGTGGGTGTATCACCTGAGGTCAGGAGTTCGAGACCAGCCTGACCAACATGGAGAAACCCTGTCTCTACTAAAAATACAAAATTAGCTGGGCATGGTGACACATGCCTGAAATCCCAGCTACTGGAGAGGCTGAGGCAGGAGAATCATTTGAACCTGGGAGGCTGAGGTTGCAGTGAGCCAAGATTGAGCCATTGCACTCCAGCCTGGGCAACAAGAGTAAAACTTCATTTAAAAAAAAAAAAGGAAGTATTTTATTTGCCAAAAACCTCAGTACTTTCACTATTTTCTGACTCATTTCTTGAACTCACTCACAGTGGTGTCAAGAGTCTGGACATCAGCTGGGTTCGAGGTCCCACCAGCGTTTGGGGACCTCTCCCAGCCCACCAGTATCAAAGCTGTCTATGATGTCATGATGTCCCTTGAATTTAGCTCTGGCAGTAAAATGATTGGAACCTAATGTTAACAGGTCACTATGATCATGTCTGCACCGTATCCACAGGGATGGTTCCTGGGTACTCTGTCCACTCCGGCTCACCATCCTGACAGGGCGGTGCTATTGTCAACGCCCCCATCATTCAGATATGCAAATGAGGCCTCCAAAGAGCAAGTAACTTGCCCAGTGTCACATGACCAGTAGAACAGAGCCCTGAATTAAGTGAACCACTTGCCCTGCTTCCTCAACACCCTAACAAGAATAGAAAATAGTCCCCAGGCTGGCCACAGTGGCCCACACCTGTAATTCCAGCACTTTGGGAGGCCAAGGTGAGAGGATTGCTTGAGCCCAGGAGTTCAAGACCAGCCTGGGGAACACAGCAAAACTCTGTCTCTACAAAAAAATGCAGAGCTGGGCATGGTGGTTTGCACCTGTAGTCCTAGCTACTTGGAGGGCTGAGGCAAGAGGATCACCTGAGCCTGGGAGGTTGAGGCTAAAGTGAGCTATGATTGCACCACTGCACTCCAGCCTGCGTGACAGAACAAGACCCTGTCTCAAAAAAACTTTAAAAAAAGGTGGGGTGGGGGCCAGCAGGGTCAGGCAAGGAATGGCTACATCTTTTTAGATCCAGACTCCTCTTCAGAGTCTTTGTGGAATCCATGTGCCCTCCCTCTTTCCCACGCACTGTTTAGTGCCATATACCTTGTGTTTCGCTCATGTCTACTTCAAGATTGTTAGGTTCTTCTTGAGTCTTTGGGGTTCCAGTCATTTCAGGTCTGCAGAAACCATGCTTCACAGGACTGCAAGGCAAAAAAGCAGAGAGTTTAACAGGACTGGCAAAGGGGCTGTTTGAACCCGGGAGGCGGAGGTTGCAGTGAGCTGAGATCGTGCCACTGCACTACAGCCTAGGCAACAGAGTGAGACCCTGTCTCAAAAGAAAAGAAAAGAAAAGAAAAGAAAGGCCAGGCGCGGTGGCTCACGCCTGTAATCCCAGCACTTTGGGAGGCTGAGGCGGGTGGATCACGAGGTCAAGAGATTGAGACCATCCTGGTCAACAAGGTGAAACCCCATCTCTACTAAAAATACAAAAAAAATTAGCTGGGCATGGTGGCGCGTGCCTGTAATCCCAGCTACTCAGGAGACTGAGGCAGGAGAATTGCCTGAACCCAGGAGACGGAGGTTGTGGTGAGCCGAGATCGTGCCATTGCACTCCAGCCTGGGTAACAAGAGCAAAACTCCATCTCAAAAAAGAAAAGAAAATGTGTGTCCTTCTCCCATACCACTGGCACCTGTCACTCTTCGAGAGGTGTGGCTCTGGCCATCTGGCAAGGCACCGGGAGCTGAGACATCCGGTCACTCAGATGTTTTCTTCTTCCTGCAGAGACAATAAACAGCTAGCCCCTTCTGGAAACCCGAACAGGAGCTGCTTCTTCCCAGCCCCGTCACCCTTTTGGTCCAGCTAGGGTGATGGTAGTGGTGGGAGGCAGGAGGATGGGTGGTTTCCCTCCACAACAGGTCTTCTACCCCATTCAGCCTTCTAGAACCTTCCATCCCAGCCACCTGTTGTGACATCACTGTCCCTGCCTCTGTACCCCACCCCCACCCTGAGAGGAAGCTGCTTCTAGGACAGGGAGATTGCTCTCCTCTTTTCACACACCATTCATTTATTCATGCCTGCCTGCACGTCTGCGTGCGTTCATGACTTTTTTTTTCTGAGACAGAGTTTTGCTCTTGTTGCCCAGGCTGGAGTGCAATGACGTGGTCTCGGCTCACCACAGCCTCCGCCTTCTGGGTTCTAGTGCTTCTTCTGCCTTAGCTTCCCAAGTAGCTGGGATTACAGGCATGTGCCATCACGCCAGGCTAATTTTGTATTTTTAGTAGAATCAGGGTTTCTCTATGTTGGTCAGGCTGGTCTCAAACTCCTGACCTCAGGTGATATGCCACCTCAGCCTCCCAAAGTGCTGGCATTAAGGCATGAGCCACCGCCCCTGGCGAGCGTTTATGACATTTCTGTGGAGCCATGACCTTAATGCCAGGCATTGTGCTGGATGCTGAAAACGTAAAGATGAGCAAAACCAGATGAGGTCTGTTCAGGAAAATCAGGGAGGCCTGGAATCACACAGACAAATGCACACGTACGATTCTGAAGGAGACCCAAGGCGTGCTGAGGTCTTGATCACAGGATGTGATCCAGGCAGGGAGTCTGGGAGAGGGCTCTTGAGCTGGGCGCTGGAGGATGCATGGATGTTAGTCCTGCCCTGGTGACATTCTCTTACGCTGCCTGCCTTCAAGTGTTTACAGCGGCCTCCCTCTTCTTGTTGTGTTTTAGTCACTGCTAACAATGCCTGGTACTAGGCACAGTGGCTCATGCGTATAATTCCAGCACTTTGGGAAGCTAAGGCAGGAGCATCACCTGAGACCGGGAGTTCAAGACCAGGCTGGGAAATGTAGCAAGACCCCATCTCTACAAAAAAATTCTAAAAATGAGTCAGGCAGGCTGGGCGCGGTGGCTCAAGCCTATAATTCCAGCACTTTGGGAGGCTGAGGTGGGTGAATCACGAAGTCAAGAGATCAAGACCATCCTGGTCAACATGGTGAAACCCCGTCTCTACTAAAAATACAGAAACTTAGCTGGGCATGGTGGTGCGTGCCTGTAATCCCAGCTACTCAGGAGGCTGAGGCGGGAGAATTGCCTGAACCCAGGAGGCGGAGGTTGCGGTGAGCTGAGATCGCGCCGTTGCACTCCAGCCTGGGTAACAAGAGCAAAACGCTGTCTCAAAAAAAAAAGAGTCAGGCATGGTGGTGCACAACTGTAACTCCAGCTAGGGCGGAGGCTGAGCTGGGGCAATCGTTTGAGCCCAGGTGTTCCAGGATGCAGTGAGCTGTGATGGTGCCATGGCACTTCAGCCAGGGCTACAGAGCAAGACCCTGTCTCGAAACAAAACAAGACAAAACAATGCCAGGTGCAGCACACGGTAGGTGCTCAGTCAATAAAGACGTAGCGACAGAATCTTCTGCCGTGCCGAGAGAAAAGGACAAGGAATGTTCCATTGTCTCTAGGGCCTTCTTTTTTTGGTGGCGGGGAGATGCAGTTTCACTCTCGTTACCCAGGCTGGAGTGCAATGGCTCGATTCTCCTGCCTCAGCCTCCGAAGTAGCTGGAGTTACAGGCATGCACCATCATACCTGGCTAATTTTTTTTGTATTTTTAGTAGAGTTGGGCTTTCACCATGTTGGCCAGGCTGGTCTCGAACTCCTGGCCTCAGGTGATCCAGTTGCTTCGACCTCCCAAGGTGCTGGGATTATAGGGCTGAGCACTGTGCCCGGCCTCCAGAGCCTTCTGAATGTTTCACATGTATCCACTCTGCAGAGCACTGAGGCAGCTGTGCTGGGAGAGCCAGTGTCCCCCAGTGTCCGTCCATCTAGCCCTTCTTCCCCAGAGCCCTCACCTAAAGAGAACATTTCCCAGGCTCTCTAACTGGATGGTGCATCCATGTGGCTACATCCTCCCCTGTGGGATGTGGGCATAAGTGGTGGGGGCCATGCCTGGTCCAGCCTGTAAAGGAAAGGAAATCGTGCCACTGCACTCCAGCCTGGCACCTGGTGACGGGGAGAGACTGTCTCAAAAAAAAAAAAAAAAAATGGCCAGGTGCGGCGGCTCACGCCTCTAATCCTAGCACTTTGGGAGGCCAAGGTGGGTGGATCACCTGAGGTCAGGAGTTCAAGAACAGTCTGGCCATCATGGTGAAACCCCATCTTTGAAAAAAAATTTTAAAAAGAAGAAAAAAGAAAAAGAAAAAAAATCCCAGTCCCCTCTCCCCAACTCAGGACAACTGGGGGACCATTCTCTCTCTCTCTCTCTCTCTCTCTCTCTCTCTCTCTCTCTCTCTCTCCCCCCCCCCCCCATCCTGTTTCTTTCCCTTCCACCAGTATCCATCCGAAGGGTGGGTCCCCTATAAACAAACCTTTTGCAAGCTCAGTTCCTCTCATCTGCTTCCTTGTGGATCACAAGGTCAGGAGTTCAAGATCAGCCAGCAACAAAGGCAGCCGTTGTATGTTACTAAAATCCCTCCATGTACCTTATCTGACCTTTATCCCACCTGCCGCAGGTAAGATAACATGGACTGTCTTCCCCACAACCCCTCCCCTGAGGACTCTGAGCTGACCACTCTCCCAGAGTCTTGGCTGGTAGTCTTTGAGCTCCACTCCCCACTCCCTTCCAGACAGACCCGAAGCTGAGCCTGTCCTGAGCCTGTCCGGGCGGTGGAGGACACTTCCTCCATGCAGAGGGATGAAGTGCTCCAGGCCATGGCTTACATCTGAGTGGAGAAAAGCTGAAGATAGAAATGGCATGGCATAAAGGCAGCAGCTGCAGAAAGAGAAGCATTCATTTGGCAAAACTCATTTCTTCTAACCCTGCAGACCCCAGGAGACTCCCTCTGCCCCAGAGCCAAGGGCAAAGTGAACTTAAGTCAAGGGTAATTCTGTAAAAGAATCCAGTGTTCACATTAGAAATGGGAAAGGGTGACTGGGCGCGGTGGCTCACACCGGTAATCCCAGCACTTTGGGAGGCTGAGGCGGGTGGATCACAAGGTCAGGAGTTCAAGATCAGCCTGGCCAACATGGTGAAATCTCATTTCTACTAAAAATACAAAAATGAGCTGGACGTGGTGGTGGGCGCCTTTAGTCCCAGCTACTTGGGAGGCTGAGGCAGGAGAATCGCTCGAACCTGGGAGGCAGAGGTTGGAGTGACCTGAGATTGTGCCACTGCACTCCAGCCTGGGCAACAGATCGAGACTCCATTTTAAAAAAAGAAACGAGGAAGGGTGACTCACCTGGCAATGTAAGTCCCCTGTGCATCCTCCTCCAGTGCCTCTCTGGGCAAGGGGACAGTTTCATCCTCACTTGGCTGGCTCTACGATCTGCCACTGGGGCACCTGTTTTCACCTCATGTGCCATCTTGACTTGAGAGTCAAGAACCGTGAGAACTCTCAGCCAACCTCCAAGACACCCAGTTAACCAACTCGTCCGTTACCCAAGGTCTGTCCCCCACAGAACATCCGCGGTCCCTGGTTTGTACAGTACGTGCTTGCGCGATGGCTCTGAAATGCACATCATGCATCTGCTCCTGGACCAGACTCATCCTGCGCTCACTGAGCCCAAGCTCTGTGTTCCCAAACCTGTTTATGCCAGTTGTGCTTCTTTCAACCTCATTTTCTGTTGTCGTTGCATCTTTGCTGGTGGATTTTGTGAAGGAGCCTGAGACGATGTTGTTGTAGTGGCCCGAGCATAGGAAGTCAACACCAAGACAGAAGTATGCCAAATTGCAGGGTCTTTATTGCCGGCGGCCACGGAGGACTCACGTCTCTCCAACCCGTGGCCCCGAAAGGAGGGTGTCAAGACCTTTTATACCCCTAAAACCACCTTGGGAGTGAGGGTGAGGGGTGGGGGTGGGGGTGAGGGGCTTCAGATGTTCTGAGGGCCAGTGGATTCTGTAAATCACCTCCTGGGCGGAGATGAGTGTGAGGGGCTCCGGACAGTCCAGTGGATTCCTGGGCGAAGAGGGACGGTGAGGGGCTCCCGACACTCTGAGGGCTGCGGACTTTTGACATTCTGATTGTTACTGAAGTGGTTCACAAAAGGCAAGATTAGCATTTGTTTACACATTGTCTGTGTAGGGCGGAAATCACAGTCCTTAATTACTTATTCCAAGTCGCAGGGGCCAAGATGGCGTGGGTTTGGACTGCTAGCCTATCACATTTGGGTTACAGAGAGCAGTTTCAACAGAAAGCCGAGGTATGGCTGAGGTGTGCGGTTTGATGGGGCTTTTACCTTGTCACAACATCACCCTGGATTTAGGGTGGCCGTAAATCATTCGCAGTGGCGCCATCACGGTTCCCTGCAATCTCTGCCTCCTGGATTCAAGCCATTCTCCTGCCTCAGCCTCCTGAGTAGCTGGGAGTACAGGCGCCCGCCTCTATACCTGGCTAATTTTTTTAATTTTTAGCAAAAACAGGGTTTCACTATGTTGGTCAGACTGGCCTCAAACTCCTGTTCTCAGTGATCCACCCACCTTGGCCTCCCAAAGTGCTGGGATTACAGGTGTGAACCACCACACCCACCCTTAAAAACATAGTTTAATCAAATCTTATACCCCTTGATGAAATAAATACAGCAGCAAAAACAAAATCATTATTTCTAAGTCTCAAAGTCCAGTTGATAAAAGAGTGAGGAATTGGGTCAGGCATGGTGGCTCATGCCTGTAATCCCAGCACTTTGGGAGGCTGAGGCATGCGGATCATGAGGTCAAGAGTTCCAGACCAGCCTGACCAACATGGTGAAACCCTGTCTCTACTAAAAATACAAAAATTAGCTGGGCCTGGTGGCGGGTGCCTGTAGTCCCAGGTACTTGGGAAGCTGAGGCAGGAGAATCGCTTGAACCCGGCAGGTGGACGTTGCAGTGAGCTGAGATCGTGCCACTGCACTCCAGCCTGGGCGACAGAGCACGACTCTGTTGAAAAAAAAAAAGGTAATGATGACTCAATAAC